TTGCTTTGAGCTTGATTCATACAATAGCACTATTGAATACGGACGAAATGTATTTCCAGGTGGTCTTGCTTAATTTTAAACCAATAAAAGGCAATATATTCATGTCAGTATAATTGACTACTTGGCATAAAAATGTAAATAAGGTTGGTGAACGAGGCATCCAGAGTTGTTCTATTATCAGCTGTATACATTCAGAAGAGAGACGTCCCGCCGAAATGCAAACAATTATCCATCGAAGCCTATTAAACCAATAAAAAAGTTCCGCTTCATAACATATAAGGGGTTTGTAATCATATTTGTTTAATAATTTTAAATCAGCTAGATGTTTGAGTGTATGTAAGGATTTTTTTATTAAAAAGCTCCTCGTTGTTAGGCATTAAAAAATTTGTAAAATGATTTAAATACAAAAAGAAAGAAGTAAAGCAAAATACAGATTTTATATGAAATTTATTAGAAAAAAGAATTTTAATCTTTGGTTATTTGTAAGGAACTAAATTTGTCAAATAGTGCATCCTTTGCTATATCAGGCTGCCTGGTTAATTGAACTGGAGTAACTACGCTACGATTTTTGTCTTTAAATTTTTTAATATGCCGTGCTGCAGAAGATCTTGAAAAATTACATTTTTCACTTGCTTCAGTGATTGTCATTTTTTTATAAAATAACATTTAAGCAACTCTTCTATCTGGCTATCAGAGTAAACCTTGTATTGTCCCCTTTTCTTGTTTGTCAAATGATCATCTTTTGCTGTTCCCCTTTGATTGGATGGTTTATTCTTCGCAGCAGAAGCTTTAATATCTGATAAATAATCATCGTATTCAGGGCCAAGAATTTCCTTAAGTTTTTTTTCATAATCTTCATCCATTGGATAACTTTTTTTTTTGAACTCAAAATTCAAAATACCTGATAAAGATTTTTTAGGCTTTATATGTGCAAAAATTTAGACTGGAAATACGGAAGCACTCAACTGCTAAAATTTAAAAGCCTTAACTCTTTAAATAGCATCCAATAAGCAGATTCTGTTAAATTTGTTAGAATTTTCCGAAGCATTTCAAACTACACTTGAACAAATTATATTTAAGTTACATCAATTTTCCAAATAACTTCTAGTCTTACAACATCAGAATAAAAGTCATACCCGAGTCTCAACATCCCAAGATCCCAAAATGTCAAATTTCAATATCCCAAGATTCCAAGATTTCAAGATCCTAAGATCCCAAGATCCCAAGATCCAAGGATCCGAAGATCCTTAAACTAGACTAAGTTTTCAAATTTGAGATATTGGGATATTCGGATATTGGAATATTGGAATATTGGGATCTTGGGATTTTGAGATCTTGGGATGGAATTTTAAGATCTTGGGATGGGATTTTGAGATGTTGAGATGTTCGGATCCTGGATCTTCGAACGTTGAACAATTGAGATTTTGGGATCTTGAGATATTAAAATTTAACATTTTAGGAACTTGGATCTTGAGCGATAGGTTAATAGCATCGGTCATCCCTATTATGATCTTTTAAATCTGAGTTTTTTTTTTGCACAACATGCGTTCCTGAAAATAATTACGCAGCGTATCTTAGAATTTCATTCTTGCGAAAGCTCGATCCTTTTTTATTTAAAAATATTTGAAGTTATTCAACACTTATTTTTCGTATTTTTTTTTAAAAACAAAACAAAAATTTATTATGTCTTATAACGCTGGTTTTCAATCCCTTTTCTTCCACTTTGATAATGAAGCAGGTAATCTTACTTTCGCACCTATGGACGGGTTGATAAATGATATTGTTGAGGAGCAACAACATATTCATGTCGTAGATGATAGTCTCTCCATAAATACGGTAATGGAGTGGGAGACAAGTCATCTAGCTGCTGAACCTAACAACAATTCAACGATGCAACTTCTGACTTTTATGGAATACAGAAATATCATTTCTGAAAGCGAAGCATCTCAAGAATCAGAGGTGCCTTTGGCTGAAACACCTTCTGCTGCTCCGTCTACTTCTGTCACTCCTGTTCGCAGTAAAAGAGGAGCATATCGTAAGTATACTGAAAAGCAAGTCCTGGATTTATTCCATTTGGTATTCGAATGTGGTATGACAGCAAAAACTGCTTCTGAGAAGACTGGTATCGTCATTAGAACTGGTCAGAACTATATCCGCCAGGAAAGATTTCGAAGAGCAGCTGAATACGAACTCCCTTCTGATGTCTCTGGACAAGCAATTGAAGAGAAACCTGTGAAAACAGGAAACAAGAAACTTTTTGATGACCACTCTTAGTTCTTGGTACAACTCTATGAGAAAAATCCTGCAGCTACATTGGCATAAGCTAGGGAAGCCTTATGCAAAGAATTTGAAGACTTGACTATCACCTTGTCTGGGCTTCAGAAGCAGTTGGTGAAGAAGTGTTGTTTGACTATGAAGAAGCTTGAAAAGCTGCCCGCGAAAAGATGCTCTCAAGATACAATAGAACTTCGTTGCGAACGTCTATTAGAATGGCAATCTTTAGACGACTTGGATTATTCATCTAACTGCATTTTCCTTGATGAGGCGGGATTTAATATGCACATCAAGAGAAATTTTGGCCGCTCTGTTCGCGGAAAACCAGCAAAGGTCGAAGTTCCAACTCAACGGGGCATCACCTTAACAATGATGGGTGCTGTTTGTGAAAAGGGTGTGGTGAATCTGACTTTGAAGAAGCCTGAGGAAGTAGTTTCGAAGAAAAGAAAAACTAAAGACGGATCATTGAAGAGCATCAATGGTCGAATCGGAACTCGAACAGAGCACTACTTGGAGTTTATTAGCAGTACCATGGATATTCTTGATGAGTGTAATATGCAGGGTCGTTATCTCGTAATGGATAATGCCCCAATTCATACGTCCAAATTAGTTCGAAGTCTAATTGAAGGAAGAGGATATAAATGCTTATATCTTCCTCCTTATTCGCCATTCTTGAACCCAATAGAAGAATTTTGGTCGAAGGTAAAGTTTGGTGTGCATCGGGAGGAGCTTAGTGAGAAGGCCCAGCTTACACCAAGGATTTTGGATTTTGCCAAGAAGGTGACTTCTGCTGACTGCGAGGGATGGATCCGACATTCAATCTCTTTCTTTGAGCGTTGTCTCAATAAAGAGACAAATTTATAATTTTTTTAATAAACATTTAAGTTTGACTTTATTTTGCATTATAATTTATTGAAATATTTTATTTTTTTCTACTTATTATTTGCGTTTGAGATTTACTTTGTAATATTTTTGAATTTGCATCCCTTTAGTATTGGAAGAGTACAAAACCGTATTTTAATCAGAGCAAAAATAAAAATAAAACTAGTGCAAATAAAAAATAACTGGGTGCAAAATAAAAAAAAATAAGTGCAAAATCAATCTGGTCACGGACGCAAACAGAAATTAAAAAGCCGCATATAGGAAGGAAAAATCCAGTACTAAGGAAATTTTGATGTACCCTGAAAAATGGTCCGGATGTACACTACAACTTTAACCTCCGATTTTAGTATATTTTAGCCAATCATATTTCTTGAAATTTATATCAATAAAACTAGACAATTTTCCCTTTTAAATACATTTTGTTCTGTGTTATTTGCTTTATTTGTTCATTAGTTATAAGTGTTTTTGTCATTTTTGTCAAAGCATCCGGACCATTTTTCCGCCTACTGTATGTATAAATTGTTACTCTCAATTACTTGCAACATAGTAACTCATCAGCAAAGTGCAGTCATCGTCAATAATGATCTATTTGAATTCATATATTTACAAATACTCTTTTAAATAATAATAAAATGAAAAGGAAGTTGCTAACTGAGAGAGAGCTCGGTTTTTTTTTTAGCTATCTTTATGGAAAGTCATAGTAGTTTAATACACACACACACAAAAAAAAAAAAAATAAAAAAGAGAAAGAAAGAATGCGAGGAAGACACTGTTATAGAACAAGCTCTGGATATAAGCATAAGTAATATTATAATAGATGAATTACATAATAAAGGATAAACTATAAGCCTGAATATGAAATAAAACTCTGTATAGAACATCTTGTAAATAATATAAAACTTATTGACATCTAATCGACTAGATGTATCAAGTATAAGACATCGTATCATTTCTACATATTTATTTTTATAACCTTGACAAAGGATTCAAGTCGTCTTTGATCCACTAAAATAGACACCAGGAACCTAAGCTCATATCAAACAATCTGAAACTTAAATCAGATTATTATAACACCCAATAGATAATCCATAGACCAGTCTCTTGAATCAACAGGATGTATATCCGAATACTAACACTGTTTCATGACTCATGTTCTTTGACAGCTATTTTTATTTCTTTGATTCAGGATTCATTTATATAAATACAAGCGGTTGTGTAGACACAAAATAATCTTTAACCTTCAATTCTTATTTTTATTTTATTTTTCTTTTATTGAATAAAAACAGTCTCAAACCATACTTCCTTTTGTTCCTTTTCTCTTTTCTTTTTTCTTTCTCTTTTTATTTTTCTTTATTATATTACGTTCCATCACAGACATGCCTATAAAAATTTTGTATGCTTTTTTAAAAATTTCAATATAGTAATCCAAAAAAAATCAGTTTATGTTAAAGGCTTATTCAACCTTGCTGACTTTAATCCAAGAATGTTAATCAAGGGGAACTGAATGATAACTTTATTAGTTGTCTCTTATTACATATCTCATAATGTAGAAGAAGCTTGTTAATAAGCTTAGGTTAGATGTTCTGCGAGTCATTGGGATCCAATATATAGTCGATTAACAAGGAATATGTATGTATAAAGAAATATATTACGTGTCATTATTCAACTTGATATTTGTCTCTTATACTGTATTTTTCAAATAATTTAAATAAAAAAAATAAAGAGATTATTTGAAAAAAATAAAATAAAATGAAAAGGTTAGCGAGAGTGATAGACAATAATATAATATATACAACGTACCTGTTAAGTAAGGGATGCGAAACCGTTATAGAGATCGCATACATTTAAGAAAATTTTTGAAAATCAGGAGGTCTTTCATTTTTATGTTGTAACATGTATGTAAAAATGTAGTTCATGTTTTTAGCAGCCATCACGTCACGATTCCATACCGTATTGCAAGAGTTACACTTGAGTACAGCATGAAGTTTATACTTCGATTTGGATGTAGTGATATTAGTTAGGTCTCGTTTTTTTTTTTTTTTTTTTTTTTTTTTTTTTTTTTTACAATAGTTGCATGTTTGACTAGTCAAATATTCATCAACATAGATAAAAGTGTTTCCTTTCAATTCTTTAGACATTTTCTTAATTGCATCCGTTATCCGTCTAGTAGGAGCAGGAAGTTTTCCTTTCATAGAGCTACCAAATTTAGCATCACCAAAGGCAATAGTACTTTTCTTAAATATGTCGGTGATCTGGTTATTCTTGAGCCTCTTGGATCAGTGTACTTTGCTGGATTGAACCTCTTGTCATGGATTTCTTTTTGAGTGTCATTAATAAAAGCCTTGGCCTTATTCAAATCATCTTGATGCAAGTTGTTCAACTTTTTTGATATTTATAAAGGTGTATTTGAGTTGATAGCAACGAGTACTGATTCTCCCAAACTATTGAATACTTTACGATTTAACTTGCTGATGCCTTCAATATTCTTGAGATTTTTGAATACATAACTTAGATAAATAGAGGTGAGGATATGCATAAACATTTTCTTCAAGAGGTGGTTTTGAAATTAGGAGCATCAAATTTGGACCAAAGTGCAATAGCCTTTTTTACAATGAATTGATTCTCCTTGTTGTTGTCAATAGTAGAGGGCCATTTAGCAGTAGAAGGACTTGGTTTTTTTTGTGATAAATATGCGTTACAAGTGATTTTCTTTGAGCGACAGTTAATTCTTTATCACAAGAGAGTTTGTGCTTGTCATTTGAAAAGATACTGAGAAAGTAACAAATAGTTCTTGATTCAAAATTGCTTGACATGTTGTTACGTACTGATGTTCCATATTGCTTAGCCATTATTGATACTACAGTTTGATATCCTTAGCTCTTGTCATCTTCTAAATTAATCTTGTAAGGTAATCATGATGTGCAAAATTTTATCAAAGCCATTTTTGACTTCATCTTCAACTTTTTTTTTCCTTGTCCAGTAATTCAAAAGAAAAGTTGATAGAACCAGTCTTGTGTAATAGCATGAGGCATTTGTTTATTCTTTATTTGATCAAGATAGTAGTAGTTGGCAAATATAGCACTGGCATAAACAATTCGTGTGATATAAGGTACCAATTTTTGAATTTCTAATACCATTTTTTTTTTCATTCTTGCAACAGTTTATCAAGTTGGCTTTGACAATAGAGGTTCTGTTAAAGTCTTTATGTGTTTCAGCTTTTCTTTTAACACGGTAGGGACATTTTGCGCTACTGGACCTTTCATGATCAGTTCCACCACAACTAGGACATTTCATTTTTTTTAAGGATGATGCTTTAATTTCTTCATGGACAGTCTTCAAAGCTTCTTTCTTGTTAATTTTCTTTTGGAGCTTCTTGGAAACAATTTTTTTTTTCAATGGTAGTAGTAGTAGTAGTAAATTTGCTAGTTGAATCAGCAACAGTAAAAGTAGGTTTGCTAGATTCACCAATTTAAAAATCGTCAAAATCGTCAAAATCATCATAAACATAATCACCATAATCAAAAGTAGGGTTGATCATAGAAGGTTTTTCTATGTAATAAATCAGCATTATGACACTGATACGTATTGGATCAAATGTAAACCTTATCTTTTTCTTTGGTAGTAGGAGCTGTATCAATTGCCTTTCCTTTACCTTTGTCTTTTTTTAACAGGAGCAGTTTTAACCGATAAAGCGGTGAGTGTTGTTGTCAAAAAAAAAATAATATAAATGATTGCCTTGTTCAGTGGATTGTTCTTCTTGGGCAATGGTACGCTCTGTTTCTTCATATTCTTCATATTTCTTGAATGATAAGTTTTCTTGACCTTAATTTACATTTTATCAGTTTTTACTTTATTAGTTCAATATAATGAAACTTACTTGTTTTCTTGCAAAGTTTTATTTGTGGTTGAAAATCATCGTCAGTGTTTTCTAGGAGTTCATCATAGTTAGTTAGTAGTAGCAGTAATAACAGCTTTCAGGAAGAGTTTTACTCACTATTACAAAGACACCATGGGTGTGCATCCTATTATGTAATGCTTTCACTATTCTGTTACATACCTCTTTTTTTTTTTTTTTTTAAGAGTGACCCCCTCTTCCTTAGGGTCAGGGGGGATTTCCTTTTACGTTTCATACTATGATAGCAATAACAGGTAGAGAAAAAAGAAAGAAAAGGTAATAAAGGAAAAATTTTGCGGTTTTTATCAACAGGCTTCGATACATTAAATGTTGTCTGTTGTAATTATTTTAAAATATAAGGCCCTTTTGATACTGAATAATTACATACGAAACGCATAAAACAGCTTCAACTGTATTATTGGGCAGTCGGTTTTATTCTTTAAGTGAAGAAAGTATGTGGTTATAGTATCTTTAGAAAGTAAATGGATATCTAGTTGTTTAACTTGTCTTTATTTTATTTTTTTTTCAATTAATTACGTTTATAAACGGAATTTCTATTTCAAATAGCTTGAATTTGTATTTCAAAAGAATCGAATTCATATAATAATAATTAATCCTGTAACCAAGAAAATCTTAAAAAGTGGCGCAAATGAAAAAAAAAAAAGATACAAATATTGAAATTCCGAATAAGCATCATTTTAACTTTGATTCTTTCTATTTTTAGAAAAGCTTACTATATATTTTTTTGAAACTAATTCTAAGCCCAATAGCCCTTTCTCTCTTTTCATTTTTATTTTCATTTATTTTTCATTTTTTTTTTAAATCTTCTTTTCATTATCATGGCAAGTTTCAAATTAGATATACCCGTAGACTTATCTGAGAAAACAACAGATAAATTAGATCTTTCTAAAAAAATTATTCATTTAATTTCAGGCGCTACTGGCATCTTGACAATCTGTATTGTTGCCCCACTTATTACTATCGAAGTCCGCTATTTGGTAGGTTAACGATGGATCATAACAACAATTAAAAAAAAAAAAGAAGAAAAACCATTTTATCTTACCTTGTTATTTTATAGGGCGCAGGTAAAGCAGGTCCTAATTACACATTGTTTGTTGCATTATTTACTATTGCTACCCCTTTCTTCTTGGTCTATTTCCCTTTTATGTATGAACGTTATAATAAGTTTAAACGACTTGGCAAGTTTATGATGAAAAACCGTACCAACTTGATCTTTTGTGGATTTGATAGCTTTTTATGGGCTACTGCAGGAATTGCAATTACTGTTCATGCTAATAATGATGCCAATTGTGCATATGATGCAGAATTAACAGATACATATGGATCATCTTATACGAGTGCATGGTCAACACAAGTAAAGAAGAAGACATACTATATTGTTGTTAAGGAAAAAAAAACATTAATTTTTTTTTATAGTGTAATTTAGCAAAAACTACAGCGGCATTTACTTGGATCACCTGTATTTTATGGTTAGTGACACTATGTCTAACAGGCATTAACTTTTGGAAAGAAAAATCAATCATTCAACAAAGATTAAATGAACATCGATTAAATAAACAACAAAAGTTTGAAGAGCAACAAAAGCAGGAGGAAGAAGAAGATGAAAGTAATTATCGATATGAGGTTAATGCTGGAGAACATGAAGACAAATCACCTTTTATTGATCCACATCAGCCACAATCAACGTTACCTTTTGTAGACCCTAATAGTCAATATAATATGCAACAACAAAGTACAGTAGCTTATGATCCATACTATGGACAGTCTCAACCACAGCCTAATTTTACAACACCTGGACAATATGCTAATGAACCACATGTATTCTCACCTATGCCACAACCAGAACCATCCTATTATAATAATAATAATAATCATTACTAAAAAAAAAAGCTTATTTTGTATACATATTGTATATCCCTCTTTATTATCTATATCTTCCCAAAGTTTAAAGTAAAGTAAAAAAAAGGAATTCATCAAATAAACAACCTATTTATTATCGTTTTCTTCTTTTACGAGAAGTAGTAGTTTCTGATATTAAAAATGGAGTCCAAATTAATTTTTCAGGTTCAAGTAAAATAGTATTAGAATGATGAGTTGCTGTTGATAAAGACTTGTTGAAAATGATTTCATGCTTTCCATTCTTTAGTTTTTGTAGCATATTTTGACCTTTTAAAGTTGAAATGATATCCTTTATTGTAATTGAAGTATTTTTACTTAATTCTAATAATTTAAGCTGTGTTAGCAAAAAATTCGATGATAATAATAAAAGAAATGAGATGATACCTTCTAATGTAATTTCTTGTCTTTCTTCTAATTCCCTTTTAATAGCCCAAATCCAATACTTTTGATAACTTAATAGACCTAAATAGGATAATGGCTTTTCAGGGGAACCTATTTTACCTTCTCTTTTTGATAAAAGATAACTGAAATCAATTAAAAATTGACCGTATCCCTTTCTTTGATAACAAGGTAATGTCATAATACATGATAGATTATAACCATGTAAAGAAGATTTCTCCTATTATACATTTTAGTATTTATATACCCTATCCTAGTATATTGTTTTGTACCTTTGAAAAGTATCCTACAAAATGACATCCATATTTATCTACTTTGACTAGTACATAAAATAAAAATCCTTCTACGTCATAGTAAAGTGTCTTGTGATTTAAAAACATTTTAGCTAATAAACAAAGGTTTTGACAATAAAGTCGACTTTTCCGTCCATCAATTTCAAAGATAGATAACTGGTTATCGCGATAGATTTCATTACCAGGAGGGTACTTTGTTGTACATTTCATCTATTATCATTAAGAAAAAGTTATTATTGTGTGTGTGTGTGTTTCCTTTTATTAAGTAGACAACAAAAGTTGACATACCTGATGTCTTTTAGTTGTATATTCACTTTTCATATATTTTAAACAAAATTCGCAAACATAGATTTTCTCCAAGGAGCTATATTCTTCTGGATAAGGTGCTAAATACCAATTATCGATTACATAAGGGCCAATTTGAACATGTTTAATATGATTCACTGGCAATGGTTTAGGTAAGAAAGAGGTAGTAGGTAGACGTTGTTGTTGTAACTTTTGTCGCTTTGATGGTTGTTGTTGTGAATTGACAGAATTTGTTTGGTTCGTAATAATAGTAGTAGGTGTATTAGTTTTTGTAGTAGTAGTAGTAGTAGTAGTAGTAGAAATAGAAGTAGCAGCAGCAGCAGCAGCGGCAACATGTTTATAAGTGTAGTTCTATATATCATATAATATAAAATCCCCATTATTTACTAGTTCATATCATTATTCATATTCATACAAAATAAGACTTACTTACTTTTGCTAATAGCTTGGCTTGTTCAAATAAATTAACTGATGAGGAATCAGGTATACCTCTTTTATACTCTTTTCCTAATAGTAAAGGAGAAAATCGGTTTCTTTTTTTAGTAGTAGAATTTAAATGGGTATAAAGGGATTCTGTAGTCAAGTATTGAGGCCCTTGTTGGTAGTTAATTCTCTTTGGCACTTTACAAGATGATCTACGAACAGTTAATTCATCTTTAGAAATGGTCATTTGGTATATTTCAAAAAAAAAAATAAAATAAAAATGTATAATAATAATACCATTTTTTTTTCCATCAACCAAATAATTACCTAACATAAGCCAATCAAATCGCAATGGATTTTTGAGGGGTAATATCCTGAATGAGCATGTCTACTTGTAAATTCCATCTAATATGAGATACTATAAATCTAATTATTAGTATTTGACGTAAATAAACTACAGAATCAATATTCTGTTTATATTCTATTCTATTATTTTTTTTTTGAAAGAACAAATAGGTTAAACTCGTTGGTAAAGGAAGTAATGGTGCTTTCTTATTATTATCCATATTAAAACGTGATTGGTGTAAAAAACCAAAAGCATAGTGGATCCATATTATGGTAATATACTCAGCAATACAAATTATTACAAGCTTTGAAGGATATACACTACATTCTAAATTATGCTTTTATAACTACTGTATACAGCTCTTTTTTCCACAAATCATCTTTTTTTTTTATGACGGATGTATTATGCGCATTCGTTATACGAATTGGTGCATATTTACCCTAATAAATAAAACAAGCTTTTTCTTCATACACTACAAGTCTTTTATAATTATTATTCATATAAACATTGGAATAATAATAATTCTGTCATTTGTTCATAAAAGTTATTCTAATAAACAAACATCATCAAGGATATTTGCATTTGAAAAAAAAAAGATAACTTGGAAATCTCTTCTTTAATGAACAGAAAGTATTCTTATATATACTACTATTCAAGCATATATGTTTATAAGAATAAAAAAAAACAAGACTATAACAATCAGTTATAGGGGCCAATATCATTTTAAGAGAATAACAACAACAATTTAAATTGTAGTCATACGTCTATTTATCTGTAGCTCTTTAAATATAATCGCTATTTGGCCTATAAATCTCCTTTTGTCATCGTGTTTGACTTGAAGAAGAATGACCTGCTGCTTACTTTATGTTAATATTTATCATTTTATAATTATAAAGTGCTGATAAAAGGAAAGCTATTATAAACAAATAGATAATCGACTGAAAAGTGATATGATTGACTCTAGTTTAAAAGATGAAGGAAAGGGTAAATCCTGTTGAATAAACTTTTTGATTTGTAACACTCTTTATTGGTAATCATGTGTATCTAAACAAAAAGAGCAAGAAAAAAAATGAAACAAAAAATTAGTAATAATATGCATTTTAATTATTAGAATATGATAGGCTATTGTGACAGTTATGAAGAATGATCATAATTATATCAGGTCCTTTTTTTTTCCCTCTCTCTCTCTCTCTGCAACTAATGAGTACATTAGCTGAACTTTCTCGAAGAGCAACAGTTAATAAAGTAGATAGCTCTAAATATTCAATTAAAAGCTGGATATCCACTGTTGCAAAGCTATATGAGCAAGTAAGAAATAGTGTCAATCCAAAAAAAAAAATAAAATAAAAATAATGTTAATGGTAAATTAGGGAGATTTTGAATATAAGAAAAAAGCTTATGATAATGCCTTTGTGAATTACATGAAAGGCTGCAGGTAATAAAGTAAATAGAGTATATCAAGCAAAAAATATACTCAAGTGTTTCTATATAGTATTATGATTGAAGTTATAGCTAAACACCCACAATGCAAGGAAGCAAAAAAAGACCCCATCTATCTTCAACTAAAAACAGTAAATAATGGAACTAACATACATACATACATTATATGCATAAGGTCATTAATGTCTCTATTTAGCGCACTGCTAATGATATTATCGATCTTTTGGAAGAAATCACAAACAGACTGCAACAAGAAGATCAAGAATTAAAAGAGACTTTAGAAAAATATCCACCTGTAGATAACATTTCAGAGTCAACTACATCAACTGATACAGAAAGTTTGCTAAATGTCTTGCCTTCTGTTCCAACCCATATTCCTACCATGAATGAACAAAAGTTATCCCCGAATAATAATAATTGTCCTTTCATGTCATCACCAGTTATGCAAATGCCTGAACCAAAGCCTGTTTTTCCTTTGGGAATACAATTACCAACTCCTTTAAAAACATTTAGTTTACCACCTACTTTTATTGTGGAGCCAAGACAATTAGCTTCTTGGATAGTAAAGAGAAATGATGGACAAGAACAGCCTAGTGTACTGATATTGGATATTCGACCAAGACAAATATTTAATCAAGGTTTCATTAAGCATAAATGGGTAGCGCAAATTGAACCATTAACATTAAGACCAAAGTAAATCAAATTAAGCACACACATACACACAAAAAATAATAATAATAATAATAATAATAAAAAACTAACACATGTCTTTTTAGTATTTTATCAAGTAAAGTTGAAGAATCAATGATGATGAATCCAGAAGCAGAACAAATCATTTTTGCAGCACGTCACCAGTTTGATATTGTAGTTTATTATGATCAGAACTCATACACGATGAATAATAATAGTTTAAGATATTTAACAGAATCAATTTATGAATTAGAATTTCAAAAGATATTGCAAAGAGCGCCTATCATGTTGGCTGGTGGTTTCGATGCTTGGCGTTCCATTATTGGCGACAAAGGTATTTTTAGATATAATAGACAGGAATCAAACAGCGTCAAAAAGGAAAAGCAAGTAGATATAGAATTGACACCTGTTAAAGTGCATCATACCGTATATGACTATGTAAGTTATAATATCATATTAGGCGATATAGACGTCTTCATCAGTATTGATTTATTTATTTTTGGTAATAGTTTAGTAGCACAACAACAGGTACATCACCTAAAACAAAAGAATCTATGGCTCATCATCAAAACCCTCCTCTTCGTGGTATCTTTGGTACTAGTACAACTTTCTTTGAACCATCTACATCACCTCATTCTATGCCTATACCCCAACCACAATCTACAACTACTATCCCACCACTACGTCCATTAACACGTAAAAACACATTTATTGATAATCCCTTTCATGGATTTACAACAACTACAAATAAAAAGTTTGATATACCACCTAAACCACAACGTCCTTTACCTCCTATACCGACCTCTAGTACAAATCACACCATCATGGGGATGGCTGGTTTAACTAATTTGGGTAATACATGCTTTATGAATTCCATCCTTCAATGTCTTAGTGGCACCATTCCTTTTGCTCGTTATTTTATATCAGGCAATTATAAGAAGCAAGGACACAATGGGATACTCACAAAGGCCTTTACTGATCTCCTTCGTCAAATGTGGAGTCGATTTCAAAAGGAGACAGTAACAACAAAGTTCTTTCATAACACCCTCTATCATCTTTCTGACCAATTTAACGACTTTCAGCAACACGATGCTCAAGAGTTTATGATCTTTGTCTTATCGACCTTACATGAGGAATGTAAGGACAAACCCTTAAAGGTACCCACCTATGAAGAGCTGGACGCTCAATATGGTGATGGATGGCTTGATAAGTTACCTGATTGGCAAGCGAGTGCATGGAGTTGGGAACGAAGTTTAGCACTTAATTCGAGTATTATCGTCAGCCTCTTTCAGGGGCAATTCAGGAGTCGATTGCAATGTTTAACATGTGGATCCGAATCGACGACCTATAACGATTTTATGTCTTTATTATTACCCATTCCACTTGAATCATCTACTCATAAGTTGACCATTTATGACTGTCTTGATGAATTTTCAAAGAAGGAGACCTTGGGAGAATCCAATGAATGGCGTTGTTCACGTTGTAAAGCGATGCGAACTGCTACGAAGCAATTGACTTTATCAAAGTTACCTGATGTTCTTCTTGTGACTTTGGGAAGATTTAAGAAAGAAGGCATGTTTTCAAACAAGTTAGATAATGATGTAGATTATCCTATGGTGTATGTATAATATATATATATATGTATGTATAGTAGATGAAGTGTTAATTTGAATTATTATACATATTTTAGAGGGTTAGATCTATCAAAATATGTACCGTATACCATGTTTCCACCTAATAAACCTCCAGAAAAGAGTACTTTTCAATATGATCTTTATGCTGTATCGGTAAGCTAAGAAACAATATACATATATACATATGTATATATTACTAAATACATGCTTTGTAGAACCACATGGGTACATCGAATGGAGGACACTATACTGCATTTGTAAGAAATGGCTATGAATGGTATGAATTTAATGATACAAAAGTACAAAAAATAGAAAACTCTCAAGTGGTCACAAAAGCAGCTTATAATCTGTTTTATGTGAGATCCACTGTAAAATAAAGATGAGCACATGTATAATAAACTTTTTTTTTTTTTTTTTTTTTTTTTTCGTTTTGTTTTTGTTTTCCATTTATTTATTTTAAACTATTATACAAAGAAAGAAAGAAAAAAAAATTCTAATTCTATTTTACATCATTATTGATTAGCAAAGTCTGCTTTCAGAGCTTGTATAGCAGTGATTGTACCAAAAATTAACCCTATGATGCCGATCAAGACAACGAAAAAACAAAGTATTAGCTCATACCATGACTTGTTACGAAGACCTGTTAACTTTAAATAAAATAAGACAGGGAAAATCAAGATAAGAGCACAATTCGAAAAGGCACCGAGGAGAGACATAAAGTCACCAAAGAAGGGTACAAAGATGGCAATGACAGTAATGATAACTACCATCGTCAAACGTAAGGCGACTCTTAACACGATTTCCATAAACTTTGAATGATGAAATGAAGAGATACCAAATAGTTTTTCGAGGTCAAGGGCAAAGGAAGTCATAAGGATAGGAGCAGCCAGGATGATATGTACAGTAATGATGATTGCACTTGCCGTTTTAGCACTACCAGCAGGAATGGAGTCATAGATAGGGCTTTGAGTTTTATTGCCATATACATAATAACCAGGGATAGCGGTTAAAAAGTAGAGAGCAGCACAGGTGGATAGACCGGCAAAGACGACTTTCCCCCAACTTTGAGGACGACGCATACCAGCTTCCACATGAGCATAGACAGGATTTCCACCAAAACTAAAGATAATGGAAGATAAGGCGATAGGGAATTCAGACCAAATGACATTATCATGATGTATATCAACCTGATTAGGTTTATCCTTAACGGCCATAACGAGAACAATCAGAACAACGATGACAGTCGTCAGCATACCAAATGCGCTCATAAAGCCAACTTCTTTCATCGACTTGAAGCAAACAAAAGGTAATGAAACAATAGCTGCGACAATGATAACCCATATAGAAAATGTGAGTTCTGCACGAGTACCTATACAAACAGAATGAAGATTTTGACCTGCTAATAAGAAATAAAGTACAGGAACACCCAGAAGAGTAACAGCAGTAAAGAAGAAGGAGACCCAGCCACCTATTTTCCCGAAGGCTGCTTCAGCGACTTCTTGATAAGAGGATAAACGAGTACGACCATTATAATATAAACAACGAATTAGAATGATACCTGAATCTAAAACAAAAAAAAAAAAAGTGAGTTACATTATTTCAACTTGTATATTATTCTATACAAGTGTGTATTTACAAGTTGAAAATAACCATCCCAAGACAAGAATAAAAAGCCCTATAATAATATGTAAATTATATAAAATAAATAATGTATACATCTATATATATATATATATTTTTATTCTTTACCAATCCAGCCGCCTTGTTTTAGTGCATAGGGTAAACTAAGTGCACCAGTACCAGCAACAACACAAACAATATTAAAATAAGCTAAAAAAGAAGATCCACCTTGACTATCACGATCTACACCATGACTAAAGCTAATATTGTCATCATATTCTGATTCACCTAATCAAACCATGTTAAAATAAAAAAAATAAAAATAGACAAGTACATAACTAGCTATTAATTACCAATAATCTGATCGGTGATCTGGTCTAATGTTGGCTCTAATTTTAAGGGTTTTTCTTTGTTTATTTCATGTAGTTCCATTTAAATGAAGTCAAGAAAGAAAATATGTATATAAAAAAAAAAAAAAAAAAAAAAAAAAAAAAAAAAAATAAAGTTTTGGATAGTTGAGTCATAGTGCGGCGGAGAAATAAAAAAAAAAAAAGAAAAAGCAAACAACAAATAAATGTAATTCTTTAAAATAAGATAATAACAAATAAGATTAAAGATAATTAAATACTACTACTAAACAACACGTACAAGCATAAATCATATTACTTTTAATAAACAACATAACAACAACATAGATTTTTGCTTCTTTTATTAATGTATTTCATATTCCGAATAACAGCGTGTAACAGCAATCATTGTTGAAATATTATACAACACATATTTTTTTTTTCTTTTTTTCTTTTTAATTATTTTTATTTATTTATTTTAATTAAATTCCTTCAAATGTTGATTAATGGCCAAAAATGGTCCTGTGGTAAAATAAATAACAATAACTGCATATTGAGTGATGTTTATTCATTTCTTTTATTTTTGATTTGAAGAAACTTGTATAAAGGTAAAATGATTTAAATAATAAATAAATTAACAATTTGAAATAAACCAAATTTAAATTAGGGTCATCGTGCTTCACATTGTCAACACGAAGATCGCCAATTGATTTTAATAAAGAAAAAAGGAAGACCATCAACACAGTGTAATCGCTGTAAAGAACTAAGGACTGTTCGACAACTTCATGTTAAATGTGAATGTGGAATCCAAAATAAAAACGGTGGGGGGAGTTGATAAAATAAGTCACTGAAAAAAAAAGGGGAAAGAATTTATCTGATTAATTTCTCTATCGTTTTTTTTTTTCTTTTTTTTTATTTAAATCAGATAAGAGTATTATTATACGTAAGCACAGTAACAACAACAACAACAACAACAAAAGACTGCAATTTTATTGACATAATTTTATTTTAGCAACAAGAAAAAAAGTTCGATTAAAAACATTAAGGCCTATTGCACCAAAAAATGAAATAAAAAATAATTGCTGTCAGTCAATTTCACCTTCTAGCTGCTGTCAAAAAAAATCCAGTAAAGAGAATCAATTAGTGTCGTCAATAGCTAATACCACAAGTCATTCATTACCTTTATTATTACTATCTGAATCTGTTCCACTACCTAATATACCACCGCCAACATCTTGTTGTGGTCCACCTGCTAAGAATCAACAAGGAGAAACAATTCGTGTAGTTACATGTCGTTGTGGAGATGACTGTGCCTGCATAGGCTGTGACGCACACCCATCACGGGCTATGAAAGAAGGTAAAAAGGATATTTATATAGGGTTTGACATGATAATACAACAAAGACAACAACAACAACAAATATCAATTGATTCATCAATAGCTTGTTCTGCTAATAAAATACCTTCTTCTATTTTATCAGATGATGGTATTTTATTATGTGGATGCGGATGTTCAAAGTCATTAGAGACTTGTTCTTGCTGTACACATGATTTATAAACGGAAACAATAATACAGATTAATTTTGCTTGGATATATAATAATAAATAGAAAGGATCTGTGTAGCAAATTGTTATAAAATATAACTAGTGGTTTAATCCTCTCTCTCTCTATATATATTGATCGAAGTATTGATAGTCACGGAATGTAGAAAAACAAAACAAATAAATGTTATCTTTGATTTCTTTTGGGCCTATATATTGAATATGTATTATCTATTTGATATCTAATTTTTCTATGCTTTTCTCCTCTCTCTCTCTCTCTCTCTCCCTCTCCCTTTTTTTTATTTATTTAAACAGAGCTTTTCCCTCTCTGCTGCTGCTACTGCTGCTGCTTATATAAACTGATACAAAGCTCTTTTTATTTCAAGGTATAGAGAAACGAAAAGAAAAAAAAAAAGGGCATCTAATAGAAAAGTATTAGGAAAATTTGATCGAATATATAAATATATGATAAATGGTAGTGCTATTTATTCTCAGAATACATCGCTGTTTTTATTTTTTGTTTGATTCTTTTAATAAAGAATAATAATAATAAAAGGACCCAAGTGCTCTTATCTCATTTATATTTACTCTGAGTAATTGAAGTTAAGATAATATAATACATAATACAAAGTCAATTCAATATGTTGTAAATAGTTGTGTTCTAGTATAATTTGATATATATGGTTGCTATGTGCGTACCTGTTTTTTTTCATTTATATCCCAAAATAGTGTTCATGCAGCAACCCTTTATTTTCAAATTCAGCTCAATTCAGTACCTGATAAAAAAAATAAAAATCCTTTATTTACTACTCGAGGGTAGTATAATAATTCATTACAAGTTGAGAACATTTATAATTACACAGTAAGTATTATTTTAAAAAACAAGTTTATTAACGCTCTCGTAGTTTCCTTTGTTTTAAATATAATTAATTTTAATATTATAACAAGGTATATAGGTATACATATATTTACCTTCTACGTTTTTGACGGCTATCTTGTTTAAGTATTTCCGTTATATCACTTTCGTATTCATTAATATCGTTTTCTTCCTCTGAGCTATTGACGTGTATAGTCTATAATCAAAAAAAAAAATTTTTTTTTTAGTAATCTCTTCCTCTATATCTCTTATATAATGCTAATTTACCTCAGGATCGTTATGATTGTTTTTATTTTCAGTCATGATAACATCTTCTGAAGGTAATAACGGTCTTGACAAAATTTGCTTTGTTAATAATGTATTCTCAAATGCTTCCTTTAATCTTTTTTGACCTTCATTCAGTATCTATATAATCAATAATTTTAGTTTCATTTTATATAAAATATATACACATATTTACTTTAATCTTTTGTCTTAATCTAGTATTCTCGATCTTTAAACTTTTTTCTATGTCAGTTATATCTGTCATTGTTGTAGCATCTTGGAATTTTTGTTCATTTTCTTCTTGTAAATTCAAGTTGGAAAATTCATTTTTAAGTGGTAATTCAGCAGGTAAGTCCATTAACTGTGAGTAACGTTTAAATAGTTGAATAGCGCGATTTCGGATTTGATATGGATCTTTTTCAAAGTCTTCTTGGATAATTAGTTTTAATAATTTACCCATTTTTGTATCCTATGTTATTATATTAATATTGTTTATAATAATAAGATTTCATTCATTATTATTTTACCTTGGCTAATTTGAAAGTAACACCTTTAAATTGCTCTATTTGCTTCATTACTGTGTCAGCATCTTCACCCAACTATATAAATGTATATATGAGTGAGTGAGTGAGTGTGTGTGTTATTTTTAACTCTATTTCTCTTCCTTTTTTCTTTCTTTCTTATACCTCTTCTTTCTTAAATATACTTCGACGTAATTGCTTTCTTAAATTTAAAAATTGTTGGAATGATTCTACATCCATTGTTCTTTTTAAATCGTCATCATCATTCATATCTTCAATATCGTCTTCTTTCTTTTCTAGCATGCGTACATAACGTTCAAGTTTATATCTCTCTTTTCTTTCCTTTTGATTTTCTTTTTCGAGTTTTGCTATCCTTTCAAGTAAAAGACCATTATTATTATTATTACTGATTTTATCTGTTGTTTGTTCTAATTTTTGCTTTAAATAGTTCATTTCTTCTATAATTACATTCTGTCTTTCATGAACCTTTTATTATTATTATTAGTATTAGTATGATTAAGAATTAAATATCTTGAGCAATTGTTTATTTAGCTTACCATTTTCAGAAATTCGTTATCTATAAAGTAAAGTAAAGGAAGAATAAGTACCTATTCCATATTATCATTTAAATAATTTTACCATTCTCATCATTAATATCTTTCTTTAATCTATTCTCTAACTGAATATTCATTAAATCATTCTATATAAAATATATGTAGTATAAATGTATAAAGATCTTTAGTTTTCCTAGATTTTTTTTTTTTTTTTTTTTTTTTTTACTTACTTCTCTTTTTAGTGCTGCTAAATACAAATCTTCCATCTTTTTTAATTCAATATCCATTTCTCTCGAAACTTGATCTCGAATTTCAAATTCTAATGTATTATTTCTTGCTTCTATATCTACCCATTTCTCCCATAAATCTTCTATTTGATCAATTAAATTATCAATAAATTGAGCATTTTCATTTAATAATGTATCATTATCGTCGTCGTCGTCGTCGTCGTCGTCGTCGTTGTCTTCGTCTTCTTTGTCTTCTCCTCCTTCTTCAATATTTTGTTTATTCTTTAATACTCCATTTCTTAATCTTTTTGTACTCGCTTCTACTTGTTCAAAATCAATCTTTGTTGGTTGAATAGGTCGCCAAGTTGTTGTTACATTTCTAGCTACAGCAGCAAATTTCATGACATGATTGTTTTCATCAAAGCCTGTATCAAAGGGATTGACGTTGACAATAATCACTGCTTTTCCATCCCCTTCAAATGTACTCTTGAATAACTCTGTCAGTTTGCTATGTCGAAAGGGGACCATCGTAGGCGTCTTCCCCATATCCGTCTTTATCTGATTCATACGAAGTGTCTCCATGCATTGACCAAGGACCATGAGGGACTTGTTAATATTGCCTGCCTCCTTCAGTCGTTGTCCTGTACTATTCGTGTTTCGATAACGTTCAGAACCTGCTAGATCAACAATAGACAATTTTGAAATAGTCGCAAAATTAGGATCCTCGATTACAAATTCATCATTTTCAATCGGACACCTCACGACGTGGATGGTAAATACGCTATGACTTCGACTACTCGTTTGATTCATCAAGGTTGAGAAGACATGTCTATTTTGATGTCCTAACCGCATAATCGCATCTGCTTCCTCCATCGACTTTACTTTAACTAAACTTACATCAGCTACATACTTGTTACCACTCCTTTGGTCATACTTGAGTTGCAACGTCCTTTGCCTCCTCTTCACGTCCAAGAGGTCATAGACTTGTTCATTATAGACTTCAATAAATGAAACCCAAATACCATATTCAAAATTACTATCAATCTCGATCATCTCTCCACCTTGTTGCGTTAATGATAGGTTCTCCTGCAATTGACATATATTTAGGATCTCTCGATTCTCTTCTGTGTTGCATTCATAGGGTTGAACTAGATTATCCATGACAGGCTTCAGTTTAGCCTCACTTTTACGGTCATGAATGCTTTTGAAAATTGTATAAAGGGTCCGTGGTAAGAGTCCAACATCTTCCTCTGTTTCTTTACCCATAATCGAATACGTCTTTCCTGAATTCGTCACACCATACGCAAATAAAAGCGCATTATTCCCTCTCAACACGTCCTTCACAAGTTCAAGTGTAGTCTCGTTAAAAAATTCACGTTGGTCGGTTGTATGGTCAAACACTTGAGTAAATCGATACCGTTCCGGTGGCTTGTGTCGTGCTCTATATGAATTCTAGAAAAGAAAAAAAAAAAAAGAAAAAAAAAAGGGGGAAGAAAGAAAGAAAGAAAGAAAAAATTGAATTTAATGAAAATAGATTTTGAATATTTTTTTTTGTTTTTTTTACTTCAGGAGGATGCATGATGACTTCAACATGGTTAACGATTTCAATGTATGGTTTTTCAATTGAATCATTATAATTTTCTGGCTTGGGTCTTATTCTTAGATATGCCTATAATATTATTTAAACATTATGAGAATTCAATGAAAAAAAAAAAAAAAAAAAAAGGGGAGAGAGTAATCTAATTCATACTTTAATGGGTTCTTTTTCAGGATCATAATTTAAGTAACGATTGGTATCAACATTATGCTTTCTATTAGTAGATTTATGTTTGGGTATAAAATTATTAGATCGAATTGGACTAGAAAAAGAACTAGTTTAAAGTCAATATTTTGTAATTGAAATTCTGTGCTTAGATCAAACCTCATTGTTTATTAGATGGCATTGATCTTTTAGAAAAAAGGAACATAATAATAAAAAAAAAAAAAAATAAAATGAAATAAAATAAAATAAAATAAAATAAAATTTAAACCCAGTTAAACAACATTGAATATTGTTGTCTAAATATTTAATGGATATTTGTAAGCTTATTCAGAATCATCAATATGAACCACAAATGATGGTCCTTTATGATTTTCAATTATTTCAGGCATATCAACTTCTTCTTCCACATAAGACTCTTCTCCTTCTTCATAGTCATATTCATCTTCTTCTACAGGCATATATTCTTCTTCCACAGGCATGTCATCCTCTTCCACAGGCATGTCATCTTCTTCCACAGGCATGTCATCCTCTTCCACAGGCATGTCATCTTCTTCCACAGGCATGTCATCCTCTTCCACAGGCATGTCATCTTCTTCCACAGGCATATCATCCTCTTCCACGGGCATATCATCATCTTCAACATACTCATAGTCTTCTTCCTCGACAGTCACTTCTTCTTCATGCTGCTGCTCTTGTTGTTGTTGTTGTGGTTCCTGTAATTCTTGTTGTTCATCTTCACGTTCATATTCTTGACCTTCTTCATGCTTATTCTCGTCTTGTTCATGTTCTTGTTGCTTGCGATCTTGTTGTAGATATTCTTGTTGCTGCTGCTGCTGCTGCTCATCCTCTAATGACTCATTTTCTTGTAATTCGAATTCCACTTGTTCTTGCTCGAGTTGTTGTTGTTGTTGTCGTTCTTTTTGTTGACGCTCTTTTAGTTGTTCTTCTCCTTTGTACTCTACATATAACTCCAAGGCGGCTGCGCTTAAGAATGCAGCAATATTTCTATCATGAACTACATACATCTGATAGCTATCTTCTAAATAGGCCATATATCGATCCCTTTCTTTGCCTGTAATTCTTAAAATGGCGTGCCCACTTTCATCATCAATCTTGACCATAAAATGTAAATCGACAGGATCGGCCCAGATACTTTCAAGACGTATTAAACCACTATCATGAAAGAAAACACTATAGCCAAGTAGACTTTTAATATGTGTCATGTTCTTTTGTATGTTAGTATCATAGGCCGTAAGCATACGTTTAATACGTTTTCGAAGTGTTTCACATTCAGTCGTTAGACTACTTTTCTCAGCTTCAAGATTAGTCCAAGATGAGTCAGGCAAAGTAGATGATTGAGTGAAAAGTTGTTGACGGAGATCGTGATTTTCTTGACGAAGGTTATTAAGGAGTTCTTTACGAATAGCATATTCTCGTGATGCAGGGTTATCTTTGAGTTCTAAAATACGGTATTTTTTGTTATCATCATCAGTAGCTTCTTCTACAGTGGTATCCATAGCAGTATTATTTGTAGCAGAAAGAAGAACTGACTCAGTTGAAGAAGATATAGGTTCCACCTTTATGGATGATGAAATCATTTTGTTAGAAGTAAGAGATGACCTTAATGAAATAGCCTTTTGAAGTTCTGAGATTTGTGCTTCAGCTGCTTTGTATTTCATTTCGAGATTTTCCTTGATTATATTTAATTGTGTAAGCTCTATATATACATATATGTATTTCATAAATAAATATATAAATACATTTATACATATTTACTCTTATATTTATTTACCTTCAAAGTGCTCTTTTTCCTTGTTGAATAAGTCAGTTAGAAATTCTGTTATACGTACACCTGATGTTAACTCATAATAAGGACCATGATTCACTTGAATAATTGGCTTTTCTTGAATGGCTTGCTTTACTTGCTGTTCAGCCATATCCTTTGTCTGCTCTAACAATTGTTTTTCAAGACTTCTAACAAGCTCTTCAAGCTCATTAATTCTCTTTATCTTTAATTGATCCACTTTCTCTGCATCTAAATAAAGCTTTTCAGCATGATCATAAATAGTTAACTGATTCTCTACGACACGAGCATGTCTTTCAGCAGCTTCAACTCTCTTGACTAATAAATTTCTTGCCGATTCTTCAGCAGTACGTACTAGCTTTTGTTCTTCTATAGTCGTCTTAAGGTCATCCAAGTGTGTTTCCAAATCTTTTATAACTGTCTTTAAGCTATCTATTTCAGATTCATATTTTTCGATTTTAGTTTCAAAATATTTTTTTCCACGAACATTATTAAGAAGATCAGGACTTTCTTTAATAGCAGTTGTTGCATGACAAGCAGCCTTCAATTTACTATTTTCGTACTCTAAAGATATTTTTGCTGTCAGCAACTCTTGATAATCTGACAATTTATATTCAAGACTGGCCTTTTCCATCCGTAACATGTTAACATCTTGATAGACAGATTTGTAATGTTTTAATTCACGGTTTAATTGTTCATTTTCACTTTTGAGTCTATTGGATTCAGTAGATAACTCTACAATAAAGAATTAACAACTGATTAAACATTATAAAGGAAAAAAGAAAAAAGAAAAACACATACTGAAGTTTTGTTTTAAGAGACTATCAACAGCCATTTGATCTTGTTTAGAATCATCATTTGAGTCTTGAGTATGTTTTAATAAAGACAATTCATACTGTTGTTTTCTATTTTCCAGCTCCTTTTTATTTTCTGCTAGCTATTGCAAAGACATGAATAATAAGTTTATAATTTACAAAAAAAAAAAAAATACAAATACAAATACAAATACAAATACACTTACGGCTTCTTTGAAGTTGTTAATAATATTTTCCAAATTACTGACATTATCCGTATAACTCAATTGTTGTTCCTGTAAATTGGATTTCAAACTTTCATTTTCTTTTTGTTGAACATCAAGTTTGTTTTCAAGATCCTGCATTTTACTACGACATGATTCTAATGAATCTCTTAATTCACCCTGTTTATTAAATAGATTAGATCTTGTACATGCATATATAAATAGTGGGGATTTGGGGTTTGTTTTCTTACAGTGACCGAATTATGTTTTGTTTTCATAGTAGATAAAGTTTCTTGAGCTTTATCATAGTTTTCCTTATGGTAAACAGCCCTATTTTTTGCTTCCTTTTGATATGTATGTACGTATGTGTGTGTGTGTGTGTGTGAAATGAAAAAGAATAATAGATTAATATTTGGAATACTCTATTCATTCATCTATTTACATTAAGCTCTGTAATGAGTTTTTTTATTTTTTCCTCTTTTTCTTGTAATGTTGCTTCATAAAGTTGAGATTTTGTTTCAAGTTTTGTTTCTAGTAAAGATAGCTTTGATCTTAAAACATTACATAAAATGGTATTATCAGTAGATTCTTCTAAATGGACGGTGGAATGAGTTTGACAATAATGACAACTAAAAAAAAAACATACAATAATAAAAATGGATTGTTACCTTTTGTTTGATCTGCAAATTCATTTGTATCTGATATGGATAATATATCGGCGGTTATTCTTCTACGTTTATTAAATGTCTAAAAAGGAGAAATGAAGAAGAAGGAAAAAAAAAATAAATAAATAGAGATGAGTCAAGTTCTTGATTTTATTTTAAGCATAAGTCTAACCTCTTGTGACATTTCTGCTTAAAGAAAGAAAGAAAGTTAAAAAAAAAAAAAAAAAAAAAAAAAGCAAGAGAAAACACGTCTTTTTTTTTATGTGTGTGTATATTATTGACTGATAAACAACAATAGTCAATTCAATTCAAGTCACAATAATTTTAAAAAAGCATTTGCATTTACAATAAAAATTTAAAACAATGTTTTGTTACTCTGGTCAAGATAAAAAATCAGCCACAGGGCAGGGCATTTGTAGTTAGTGGTGCATATTTTTAGATAGACAAAAATATAGGATCGAATAAACATGTCATTTGGATGAGAGATACAAGGTTTTGGGATATCACTGGACAACCAGCCAAAATGTCAGCGTATAGCTCGACTATGTTTAGCTTGTGGCATAGTTAATATAGTTAGTTAATGAAAGAAGAATAGGACCTATAGTGGGTGTCGGATGACAGACAGATAAAAGAGCATGACATTACTTTTTCAACCTGTTCATATTAGAAATGCTTGATAAGGCATGACAGTCAATATCATCGGGTGCACATAGTGGTTTGGAAAGTTTATACCACTGACAAAACTGAAAGCCGAAACAAGCTATAAGGATCATGTAAAACAGTTCGATACTGTTTTCGACTTTTTTTTTTAAAAAAAAAAAGAAAAAAAAAAGAAATATAACTAGAAATCATGTTACTAAATTATCTTATTTTCTTAAGCGTAAACAATCTCCTTAAATCCTGAAAACAACTCTGGTTTATTGTGCTGCACCTTGCAATCTGATAGTCATAGTGCCTATTTTCTTTTTGCCAGGAAATCCACAAGTACTGAAATGCTAGTCAACTTCGACTTGGATGATTTTACAAGAGAGGAAATGTAGATAATTACTTTTTTTTTTCTTTCTTACCTTAGTATAGTTGATTCAGAAAGATATATCATGATTTTAATGCCGCAATCAAACATTTTGAAGAAGAAGAAGAAAAAAAAAATAAGAAGGTATAGCTCAAAAGAGCGAGCTGTCTACACCGATAGCCCCAGGAGAGCTTAGCATTTAGAAAAAACTCAAGTTCTTGCATCAAAAGCTGTTGTTGAAAAAAAAATAATCTTATTGCTCATATCGATTACAGCTGAAGAAAATAGGTTGGGCTACTTGAAAAATATTTGGGACACAAATTTTGAAAATGGGACAACTTGCTATTTAGACCTGAAGAACAAAATAGGAAATGTTATTATGCTAGAATCTTCTTGAATCTTCATTTAATAGCGATTTCAAAGATATATAAAGGAATAAATTCTAATATTATACTATCAATCGAATTCTGAGCTCGGTTAAATAATAAGAAAGAAGGGAGGGAAGACTAAATATAATAAAGTAAATAAGAAATTGAAGGGTGGGCATAATAACATTTCCTATTTTGTTCTTCAGGTCTAAATAGCAATAATGGGACAAATTCGACAATTCTTCAAACAAACTTCTTCCAAGCCTGAAATTTATCCTCTTATAGTAATATTGGACGTTGCTCTATCAGGAAGTGCCTTCATGGGTCTTCATCAATCTCGTTCTCCAGATGTAGTATAGAACCACCACACTAACTCCCAACCATGGCAGCAAGTTAAAGAAGGAGATCAAGTAAAATTGGCTGCTTTCAATCAAAAATACGAGCGCAAATACAATCGCGAAGAATGGTAGACCTGCAGTAATTCTCTCTTTATCCCCTTCTTTTTTTTTCTGTAAATAGTATTTTGTAAAAAAAAAAGTAAAACAAAATAAAAAACTATTTTTTTTTCTGTAATAATTAAAGATGTATTTACATAACCAAATAAAGACTTTGAGCATAAAACTCTATTTTCTGTATATTTCATTAATGATTTGGTAAAGCGGGTTTTATAAAATTTTATTCAATGGTTGGGGATGATCAAAAGAATAGACTTTTTTATTAACTTTTGAAAGGTGAAGAAACCCATCATTTCGTTTCAGCTATTTCTCTATTCCCTTTAAACAATCTAGAATATTATTTTTGATGGATTCATTAGCTGATTTCAGCTGTTGTGTACACATCTCTGCTAATTCCACTAACAGTCCTTCAACTTCAGGTTTTCCAGTTATGTTTAAAGTGTATTTTTTTTTAAACAAACCTAGAAAATGTTTAATTATTTTTTTCGCCCTGACGTCTCCTTCGTTGACTGTGGCAATTTCCAACAAAATAGCTTTTTTGAAAATCCCTTTTTCAAACCTCATACAATCAGCAATACTGACTAAAATGTTGGATGCTAGGGTAGAGTTGTTTGAAAAGTCTACTTGAACTTTATCCAACAAAATAAAGATAGAGTATGGTCTGCAACCTATCTGGTCGGTCCATTGGGAGGAAAACCTCGAGCAGGTATACGTCCTAGGACTAGTAAGGCGAGACCTAACTTGTCTCAACTGGGAGTACAAGTCATGGCCATTAGCAGTTTCAAGTTTTTCATTGATTGTTTTGTTGGCCAATTCAATGCTTCTTAAAGCAATATAGACTTTTGTATTATTTGTCGGAGAGAAAAGGAAGGTTGACGCGCCAACTTCTGGAGAAAAATCTTTGTCCAGCCGGATACTAGAAGTTACAAGCCCATTAAAAACAAAAGTTCCGATCAATAGTTTTCTGGATTTGTCTTCGGCCTTTGATATAATGTTGATACCATTATATTTGTTATTCTTTGACGGTATACTACTGATACTAAATCTTGACCCAAATCTCTCATAGTGTAAATCAACTGATGGTTTACGATTGTAAAGTTCAATGCAATTGATGAGAAGAGCTTGATTTTCTTCTACAAGAATTGAACCAGCTAAAAGTTGACCGCAGGCGATTCTTATGTATGGCTTGCGCTTCCAATCTTGATTCAAAATACTAAAAGCAGATTCATTAATCTCTTCATACTTTTCGTGTTTGAGAATACCAGGATATGTTCTTTGTAAACAGCAGTGAACAAAGTCATCGCCCATCGAAAGGGTAGTTTTGGTTTCAATCGATGGTGTTTTGTCACCCACTTCAATATCCAAAGTAACAGGGACATTGGAAAAAGACAGTAACGTTTGCAGATCTTGGGCTGATGTGTTGATATTAGCAATTGCCCTTTTCTCGTTGGACTGAATTTTCAAAGATGCACTACGAACGTTGAACGAACTTAGTATTGACTTGGCGATGGAAGATTCTTGCTCAGTTGTGCATTGAAAAATGCTTTGACTTATTCCATCTTCGGTCTTTCTTTTTTTAGTTGAATTCACCTTTACTGTTTTGTCAGGAATGTCTAAATTCAGGGGCGATTCGTTTGGTGTTACAATTACAGCTATTTAAAGTTGAATATAAAGTAAAACTTTGTACAAAAAAAAATTAGCACTAGTCAAGCATACGTAAAATGCGCAAATTTATTAGATAGGTTTACGATTGAGACCATCTTCGAACTTGGAAGCAGAATAATTATAAAATTCTCGAAGATCACTATACAATATTCTATTGCAAGCGTCTGCAATTCTTGAAGTCAATGTTTCTTCCAAAAGCTGCTCTCTTTTAAGTTTGCTTTTACAAACCGACCAAAATTGCTCGATAGGATTAAGCTCAGGCGAATAAGGGGGCAGATATACGCACTTATAGCCTCGGCTCTCAATAAGGTTTTGAATGTCTTAGTGTTTATGAATAGGAGCATTGTCCATAATCAGATAATGACCTTTATATTCCTCATGACGGTCTATTACATCCAAAACACTACTGATAAAATTGAAGTAATGCCCAGTAACTGTACCACTATTACTGTTCACTTCTGAAGTGAATCCTCCTACTGCTTTTCTCTTTTTTGTTGGAGGCAACGCTCGTGATCTCCTTACACTGATGTTCACGACACCAGAAGGAGAAATTGCACCTAAAATAGTAGTGATCTTTGCTCTCGTTTTGGGTACTTTCACAATCGCACGATCGCCTTCTTTTGACCAAAAAAAATTTCTTCCAAGATTGATATGGAAAGCAACTTCATCAATAAACACACAGTTGCTGGTGAAGTCTATATCTGTTTCCACCCATTTTTTTACCCACTGATAACGCTCTGCAATTTTTTCAGGGCTGTTTCTCTCTACTGGTTGTAAACGTGCTTGCTTGAATGTGATTCTACTTTTCTCCTTTACAAATTTGTTAAAGCTGCTTTTACTGATATCGAGTTTGCCAAACCTATCAGTCAATACATTAAGCATATCGTCTAATGTAACGGAGTCGGTGTTTTCGTCTGCCCATTCAATCGTGAAGTCCTTATGCTCCTCAGTTAAGATTGGTGGTCTACCCACTGGTCTTCCTTCTTAATATTGTCGTTAATGTAAATGATGTTTCTTTCTGTTCCTATTCCTATTTTTGATCGACAATCTTCTGTATTGCCGTTTCAATTCAATTAACCAAATTACAAATTAAACAACTTTATAAAAATTTAAAGCAAAGTAAAAGCCCATAAAATATAAAAACGATTCTTAAAATAAAAATGATATCAAAGGAAATATAAACGAAGGGTAAATTAAAATAAAATAAATTGAATTGCCGGACAAGTCCGGTATATCACGTGACAGTTTACTAAATTTTTTGTGTGCAAATTTTATATTTCTATACCACTTGTCACTTTTTACCTAACTTTTTTATTTGACTTTTTACAGCTGAAGAAAATAGGTTGGGCCACGAAGAAAAAAGTTGAGCCACTAGAAAAATATTTGGGACACAAATTTTGAAAATGGGCAACTAATAGAAAAATAGGACATTTAAGACAGCAATTTTAAAAGTTTTATTTTTATCACTTTATACGTATATTATGTGCTGTGTGTGTGTGTGTGTGTGTTTTTTTTTTTTTTTTTTTTTTTTTGAGGTAATCAGTATTTTGGTTTCATTTTTTTTACAACTCTTTTTCGCAATCTATGCACCTTTGCCGGAACGATAATGAATGTCGTATCCAATTTTCACAGTCTTCTTTGCTGATATATACCGATGCATTGCGGATGCGTTCGCTGATTTTCGTGCTTTGTCTGACTGAGGCGGGGTCATTGTTTACAACACTTTTTAACTTGGACCAGAAATCCTCAATTGGGTTTAAAAATGGAGAATATGGTGGTAAAAAGAGAAGTTGATATCCTCGTTGTTCAACCCAATCTCGGACAAGGTTAGCCTTGTGAATGGATGCGTTATCAAGCACCAAGCACTTGTAACTCATACCAGCTGTATCAATTGTAGTGAGAACTTGCTCTATGAATTTTTGAAAGTCGTTACTAGTTGTACCTTTTCTTTTTACAACTGGCGTATCATCAGTTCGTTGTCACTTTCCTGCTGCTGCTGTTGTAATAATCTCCTTCCTTGAAAGAGTAATAAGACCCTCTTTGGAAATGGCACCTAGGATACTGACATTTGGTCCCCTTGTTTCAATTTTAATTTTGCAAGGTGTTCCAACTTCACACCAACCATAAGAACAGTGCATGTTTCTATTGAATCCAGCCTCATCAATAAACACACAGTCATTCATAAAATCTATTTTTTTTTTTTGATGAATCCAGAAGTTTACTGTATCATATCTTTTAACAACAGTTTCCTCACTGTCTCGTACGAAATATTGCGGGACAATGCGTTTATAAGTGAGACGACATCCTTTTTTTTTTCATATGAGTTGCTACTGATCTTGGGGTAATTTGAATTTCCTTAAAATTTTCGCAAAGTTGATCTGTGACAGCTTCGACTGTCAAGGTTGGTTCATTGGCTAACATTTCAAAACTAAAGACAGTATGCACGTCCTTAAGTATCAATCTTCGACCCTTGTGTTCCTTGGGGCTGATGGTACCAGGAACACCTCCTTGGTCAGAATCGTTTGCCATTTCGTTCCATTCTTTGATCTTGTGTGCGGCTGTTGACTTTGAAAGTCCTACCTTGATAGCCGCTTCTCTAATGGACAGGCGTTCAAATTCCTGCATTAAATTAATCAGGTTTACCACCTTTGGTTCGTTTTTTGAAATATACGACCCTCGCATTTTTGTAACAGCTGTCGAAGTTTCTTTGGAAGATGCACTATTTTGTTTTTTTATCTTTTTTTTGTTCAGCGTTTATTTGCTGCAGTTCTTTCCCAATCTATGTAAGATTGGACAATAACAGGCACTACTTGGCCATACATATTGATGTTATCGCTCATGTTATAAAAAAAAAAAAAAAATTTAAAAGAACATAAGTAAAAATAAAAAGCTACAGATTTGACAATCTAATAAGGTCCCAAAGATTAATGTTATAGTTATATTAGGTGATGAAACGCTGTTTGGGTATGCGAATTCATTATTAAGTTTTCAAATGGGGAGAGGATTTTTTTTTTTTTTAAAGCAGTCATTTGGAACAGTCAGCACCGTAACTTTCATTTTATAAATTTAAAGGGGGGGTAACAGCTAAATGCCAAGCGTTTCGGATTCCGCCAAGAAAGTTATAACTCTTGTTCATTGTGAAGAATAAATTCGTCATTTAAAATCTGCACCCCTTTTTCTGTGAGAATGACTGATTTATATCGTGTCTTTTTTTTTCAAATAAAGGCATATACACATAAATAAAAGTGAAAAGAGTGCTAACACATTCTTTAGAATCATACCGATGCACCGAAGAAAAAAAGAAAAATAAAAGATATCATTAAGGAGTATGTAGAGATAGGAATTATATTTCAAGACAAATATCATTTTTATTAAAATTTAACTCTGTCTCTTTATTCCCAGAGGCAAGTATAATAAAAGAAGTTCCTTTCATTCACTACTATCATCTACACATGTATTTACAAAGTCAATCAATACGCTGTTTGAATAATAAAAAAAAATATATATATACATGTATATATTTATATATGTATATAGCTTCAATATAACCTAACCTTCAAGTCTAGCAAATATATGGGCAATATTTTCATAGACTTTTATGCTCTTAGCTATTTCCATTATTATGTAGTTTGTTTGTCTTTTAACAAAGATATACAAGCATTAGTAACCTTTCTTCATGATGATAAATTATTGATTGCTCATTTTATCTTGTATTACAGATATCAATCTGAGAAGAGAGACATAGACATATAAGTTTTGTTCGTTAAGATAACCTTATCAATTATTATGGTATTTTATTAAAGTTACAATAAGCTATTCATTTCAAGTTCCTATATTTCCCTACAAGCTTTGAAAGAAGCTTTAATTACTATAAAAAGCAAGTTTCAACTTGAACATAAACATATCATTTTTTTGTATCAGCATTTTTTTTTTTTTTTTTTTTGAAAAAAAAAAAAGCCAGCTATTGTTCCAAAATAGCTACAAGCAAACAATAGAATAGGAGTTGAATACATCTTTGATAGAATAGTAGAGTAATTTGAGATAGATAGTCTTTGAAGGCATCACGTTATTAATCATCAATAGATTTAAAGACTAAACTTAATTTAAGATGATTAAAGGAGAAGATACTCTTCTGAAGGACTTTCATGATAGTGTTAGATCTTTATTATTTAATTGTTCTTCAAGTGTATACTAAACGCCTTTTACACGTATATTTTTTTGCATAGCTGTATTTTAATAAATATTTCAAGATCAATTCTAATTTCTTAAAGTCCTCACAGAGGTTATTCTATTTCTTTTATTCTGCTTGAAAATCGAAGATTAAGGAGTATGAAATTTTATTAATAAAAAAAAAAAAAAAGTATGCTGTTGCAAAATGAGCTACTATGAAATACATATACATATATCTTTTTTTTTTTTTTTGTACAAAATAAAACTTAGTTTCTAGTGCAAAAGAAGGCACCTTTATGGTAAAACAAATAAATACTATATATATAAATATAAATATACACATATAAATAGATATTAGCCTGCAGCAGTCGTTTCTAATTTTACTTTCTTTGTATTATCATACAAATTTGAAACTGCGTGTCTTTTTTCAATATATTGACTAAGGGAAAAAAAAAGGAGTTATTATATAATATATCAATTATTACGTAATATTTACCTTTCTTTTATTCCTAGTGGAGATGGTCGGTAATTATCCCTGGGCGGCCAATGAAATGCATTATTTAAAGGGCTTGGCAATTCACTTTGCTGCTGATAAAATTCTGGATAAAATGTAGAAGGCGAGGGTAAGTTTTGTACAAATTGTGTATTAGATTTCGTAGTTTGTTGTTGCAATCTATTTATATCATTATTTGGTATTTGAATCCTAAGGTCATCTATACTATCAGAAGGAGGAGTTGTGTTATCAGAAGAATTATTATTATTTGATTGTTGCATCCTGTGATAGGCCATTGCTTGATCTTGAACCATAACTGGAGAAGAATACATCATAGTTGGTCTTGGTTGTGGGGGATAATTAGTAGTAGTAGTAGTAGTAGTAGTAGTAGTAGCAGCAATATTATTGTTATTGTTATTATTCGTATTATTATTAGTATTAGTGGTAGTAGTAGTATTAGTAGGAGTAGTAGTAGTGGTGGTGGTGGGCTATAAAGAAAAAAAAAACCATCAGTATCAGTATATTATACATATAGGGACAAGTTTATTTTATTTCTCTTTCATTACCATATACATCGGATACATTTCATATACAGGCATAGATACTGATGGACGTTGCTGAATGACATGTTGTTGTGTATTATTATAGTCTAGTATTGGCTGATAAGAAGTTGTTGTTTGTTGAGATTTAACAGCGACTTGTTCTTCATGATCAGATAGCACTACTAGGTCTTCTTCTTTTGAAAACTACAATAGATAAAAGATTAATTTATACAATAATATATATATATATTAAATAATACATACATCTTCGTTACTCTTACTTTCATAAGGTTCATCATACTATCATAAATTGTTAATATAACAATAGAAATCATGATATACATCAATTATGTATTTTTATATACCTCAGTATATCTCATAAGTACTTTATCAATATCAGTACTTGCATATTGTACAAGCTTATTGTTTGAATTGTTAAGAATAATGAGTGCTATTTCGCAGTTACAGAGTACACTAAGTTCATATGCTTTCTTCATTAATCCATGTTTTCTCTTTAAAAATGTTACTTGTCTATTACGATCATCAGTAATAGGCTGAATTCTAATCTTCTTACGTCCCATTGTCTGTACTACTATTTAATTGTAAATTTTATATACTATTCTACATGTGTCCTTTTTACCTTTTAAAATAAATATATTAAAGAAAATAAAATAAAAGAAAAGATATTTTTAACAAACAAACAAAAAAAAAATATATTTATACATATTTTTATATACACTTATTAATAGAATAACTTTTTTTTTTTTTATTAAATGGATCTATTTTTAGAAGGCATAATTCTGTTCAAGTCAGACAGCAAAATACTTCCAGCAATGGCCACATTAAGTGACTCCACAGAGGGATGCATGGGTACTGATACTTTAAGTTCGCTATCGAAACCGTGTGCTCCATGATGCTCTGAGGTTAATATAAGTGCAATCTTCTTTGGTAGTTCTCTGGGTCTATTATGAAAATTCCAAAACCATGCACCTGACCCTAGTCCTAACTTTGACAAATCATCTCCATGTTCTGGAGACCAGAGCCCAAGACGTTCGTTTGGTAACATATCAGCAACAACAGGCGTAAATCCTTTCTCCTTTAACAATTTCATCCATTCGCCCCTTGCTAAAATTTTATGCGGCCAGTTTAAGGACACCGCTCTTGAGGCACGAATTGTCTTGTCACTAAAAAGATCGCATGATGTGCCTGCAGTTAACACTCCTCTTTGCCATCCTAATGCTTGTGCTGTCCTAACTAATGTTCCCAAGTTACCAGGGTCCTTTACGCCATCAAGAATTACTAAACGATCCATTTCAGGTGTTAATTCGTATTCATGATCGGGGATGGTCACTTCAGCAAAGATCTCATGGTTATCTGGTTTAGAAGCTGTTCCTAAAATTTTTCTAGTAATATTTACATCTGTCACATAATATTTTTGTGCTGGAAACTTTTCGTAATGCTCCAAGACATATGATGCTGGATACTTGATGTCTGATTCTGATTGAGGTTCCTTTTTCGCTGTCACGACAAGGGACCTTACTTCAACGCCTCTGTCGTATAATTCAGAAATCGTCTTACGACCTTGAACAACAACAGCTTTGTTTTGATGACGATATTGTTTTTTTTCTCGAAGAGCAACAAGATGTTTGACTACTTGACCTTGTTTATTGGTAATACGAGTAAATACTTTTGGTATACTGTTAATCATCTTTTGTCCAGAAGGAATTGAGAAAAAAAAAATAATAAAATAATAATGAAATTATATGGAAAGGAAAAAAAAAGTATGAAATTAAAACCCAGTGATCTATATTGAAGGGGGGAGGGGAGAGAGAGAGAAAGAGAGAGGGTAAAGAAAGAGGCCATCTTTTGCCTAATTTGTCGAACAAAAGTGAAAATAATTTCATATATAATAGCTGGTAGGAAAAAATGAAAAAAAAAACCAACTTCTTAAAATATTTTTTCTTATACATTAAATTATAATAATGACTTTTCTACAATTAACAAGTTCAGTAGGAGCCTTGTTACTCGCTACTGTTCTTTATTTCGAAAACCAAAAGAGAAAGGACCATTTGCCGCCTAAAGCGCCCGGATATTTGCCTGTATTAGGGCATCTACTACAAGTGTCTAAACCAATCCCTATTCATGAGTTATTTACTAAATGGAGTCAAGAAGTAGGATCTGTTTTTACTTGCTATTTTGGAAGTCAACGTTGGATCGTGCTAAATTCTGCGGAAGCAATTAAAGATTTAATAGTCAATAAGGGTACAATTTATTCTTCAAGAAATTTGCCTGATACATTAGTTCATGACTTAATGGGAGGAGGTAAATATATAAATATATATATATATATATGTATATGCTTATAAAGATTTCTCATTATATTATATAAAAGAGGAGGGAGGAGGATTTGCATTCTTACCTTATGGATCTACTTGGAGAAGATTACGTCGCATTGGTAATATAAAAAGATAATTATCTTGATTTTTTTTTTTTTTTTTTTTTTTTTTTTTTTTTTTACTGATTTATAACATACTATAGCACACACGGGTCTGGTCAAAGCTAAAATCAACGAATATCAACCTATCCTTAATGAGCGTACACAGACTTTTGCATCTTATTTATTAGACCTTACTAATTCTATTGAAAATAATAAACAGGGTGTTGAGCTAACTCATCTTATTCAACATTACACCATGACAAGTATTCTTGCTATTGCCTTTGGAGACATGTGTTCCTTTGAGCCTGGTGATCCTGTTCTTCATGAGGCCTTTATGATCACTGATCGAAGTGCAAACAGTATGAGCCCCTCTGAACAACTACGTGAATTTTACCCCATCCTCAAGACGATTTGGCCTATCAAGAAAGCTAAATATATTGCAGTTCGTAGGGATATTGATGCCTTTTATGGTAAACTTTTAAAACAGTTTAAAGAAGAAAAAAGAAAACAAGATTGCTATGTTAAAGATGTATTGTCTCTGGGCGAACTAACGGATCAACAAATTACAAATTTTATTGCCATCTTTATTGGAGCTGGATCTGATACGACTGCATCTACTTTAGAATGGATGATTGCCTATTTAGCAAATTATCCTGAGGTTCAAGACAAAGCTTTTGAGGAGATCAAAAATAAAGTGGGTCTTAGCAGACTTCCTAATGCGAGTGACGGTAAAAACTTGTTATTATTTATAATAAATATGAAAATTAGTTTATTTATTTGTATTTGTATTTGTATTTTTTTTATATATAGAAATGGACCTTCTTTATGTACAATGCATTATTATCGAAACACTCCGTCTTCGTCCACCTGCACCCTTTGCTATACCACACTCTACAAGTAGTGATGATACCTATAAGAACTGGTTTATTCCAAAAGATACCATTGTAGTTCTAAACATCTCTGCTGTTAATCAAAACCCTGAGAAATATCCTAATCCAACTGCATTTCTACCTGAACGACATATGACAATGAAATCTAGTCAATCTGTGAATGATCGACCTCATCTTAGCTTCTCTACAGGACGTCGTGTCTGTGTCGGTATTCATCTTGCTGAACGAACCCTTTTCATGGCTGCATCTATGTTATTAGCTTGTTTTAGAATTGAAAACATAAAAGATAAGATCAACGTAGATTTACCAAGAGATATACATGCTACAACTTGGTCTCCACAACATTATCATGTTCGCCTAGTACCTAGACATGAAAATATTTCCAAGTTTTTATAATTAACATTTAATTACTAGAATAGAATTAGAATTTACTTTCTTATATATTTTGATAAAAATTCACATTATTAACCCTAATAATAAAAGGAGTACAGACCTTGTCTCATATATACATAATGTAGTAGTAGTAGTAGTAGTAATAACACTAATTTATCTATAAATAAAATTAATTATTATGCATATATGATAACCCTCATCTAATATAGTTTGACTTAATCTTCATAGCTATACATCTGAATGTATATATACATATGTATATATATATATATAGAGAGAGAGAGAGACAGAGAAAGAGAGTGTCATTTTAGATATATATATATATAACTACTCGAGTTACATATGAATGAAAGCTCTCATCTGCAAACTCCTAATAAAAGCTGTATACGTTAAAAGACTATAATGACAATTATTTCTAGTTGACTCTTTTCTAATATATTCTTTATGTTTATAGACTATCACTGTATTTAAAAAAAATAATATATCAGTGATATATAGATTAATAAGTGATCATAGATAACTTGCTTCTTTTATCATATATAGTCTATCAAATACACTCGGTATTAAATTCATGATACAAAGTATAATCAATATGCTTGAATGAATAGCATCAAGCTTATTATTTGAAGAATGTTTTGTTCGGTCATTTTATCATTCTAAAGTGGAAAATAAAGTATTAGCAATTATTTTTTTCTCTTTCTCTCTTTTTTTTTATTTTATTTTATTTTATTTTTTTTTTTCAATTTGTATTATTTATGCTGGGATTTCATATTTTGATAAAGCTATGATTTAGACTTTTGAAAAGGTACAACAACAATAAAAGGGAGATTGAAAATTTTTTCATTTTCTTTTTTCTATTCTTCCTTTATAATCTACACTAATCATGGCTTATCCTCCTTCGCTTATTACAGGCGAGTTGGTTGTAGTAGCCTTAAAGGCAGTAGGTTTATTATCAAAAGTTATTTTATATGGTTTTATTTATAAAATTACTTCCTCTCTCCCTTTTTTTTTTTCTTCTAGGAAAAATTACAACATAAGGTAATTTAATCGGTGAATAACATTATAAATATTCTTAATTTGTACATGTAAAGGCACCTGGTAAACAGAGTCCCTTTTGTATATTTAGAGTAGGAGATGTCATTAAAAGAACAAAAACAGATGAAGGAGGTGGACTTTATCCAATCTGGGATGATCAGGTAAAAAAACACACATATACACACACAACAACAACAACAACTTGGAAGTTTGACATTTAGCAATGGAACCTAACTTTGTTTTTTTTTTAAAAAAAAAAGGTAAATATACCTGTTTCAGCTGGACATCATCAATTACATATACAAATATTTGATAGAGACAATAACAATCCAAACAATTTGATGGCGGAAGGGATTGTTGATTTACAAAAAGTGTTTAGAGATAAGGAACATGATGACTATTTTCCATTAAATCTTCATAATAGACCGAGTACGGGCGTTATTTATTTAGAGTTAACATTTTATGCAGCAGTAAAGTTTATTATATTCATATATTGTAATGTAAACTGAACATGTTGGATTCATTAGGTAAATCAGTCAAGACCACCGCCAATACAACAGCAAGTAAGGTATCAATATCCCCCTGGTAGTACTGGAGGAGCACATTGTAGACCTCAACAGCAGCAGAGACCACCTAATCATTATAACAGACCATCAATGCGACCCATGCCTCCTCCTCCTCCTCAACATGTGTCCTCAGTATCACATCAATATGGCAGACCTGTGCCTTCACCACAACAACATATGTCACCGGCACCACAACAGTTTAGTAGACCTATTATGCATCAGCCATCTTATAATAGTAGACCTCCTTTACACGTTGTATCATCATCACAATCTCCATATAGGCCATTACCACAACCGCCAATTACAAATAATAGACCGTCTGTCATGATGTCTCCTCCTCCTCCTCCTCCTCCACAAGCCTTTCCTCAACCAATGTATGTTAATCCATCACAAACTATGTCAGCATCTCGACCTTTATTATCTGCTCCTTACAATCCAGCTCCATCCCCTATTATAACAAGACCTAGGCCTAGTAAGTTACATAATAAATCATCTTATTTTTATATAGTCTAATTTTTTATTTATTTCTTTATTTTTAGTGGATCCTAATGGTTATCCTCCTCCTCCTCCTCCTAATAGACAACAGCCTCATCCCTCCCAAAATACAGTAAGATATTTTCCTCCTTCAATGAATTATTATCCATCACAAAATAGTCATAGTTATCCGCCATATTAATATTTAATGCAAATAAAATTCCGAACTTCTATACATGCTCCCAGGCCTATTTTTCTTTCTTTTTTTTTATTATTAATAAATTTTGTTATGTTTTCAATATTTCGTAAAACTGCTACTGAAGTAGCTGAATCAAGCTTAAAAGGTATACATGTCAAGTTCCTCATTTGTATTCCCCTTTATAAGATAAATAGTTAAACTTTTTCTTTTAAAAAAAAAAAAAAAGCCTTAAATATGGACGGTCTTCGTGGCTGGCAAAAAGAAATGCCCATGGCATCATTCACGTCTGCTAAAGATCTTGATGCATGGGCTATTGGATGTGACAAAGATATTGGTGGATTTTCAGAAGCCCATTTAGACTTCAACGATGGTCATGGCCGCTTCCATGGTCATTTATCACTTGATTTGCCTGCAGAGAATAAAGAGATTAAACAAAGTGGTTATGCAGCCATTCGAACTAAGGTCAAACCACAGACATTATTCGGTGTCCCTTGTTGGGATACAACTCTCTTTAGATATTTGGCATTACATGTTAAAGGGGATAATCGAAAATATTTTGTCAACATACAAACGGATGGTGTTGTTAAAACAGACTTATTTCAACATCGACTCTTTTTACGTACACCAGGTCAATGGGAGACTGTGATGGTAAGAGGAAATTAAAAAAAAAAAAAATGAATTGTATAATTTATTTATCTTTGCTTGTGCCGTTTAGATTCCATTTAGGGATTTTATTTTAACAAATAATGGTATCGTTCAAGAAGATCAAATTGAAATGTATAGAGAAAAAGTAAAAACAATAGGAATCTCAATCATGGATCGTCAAGAAGGACCTTTTTCTTTAGAAATTGATTGGATTAAAGCTATGAATACTGAATTTACTGAAGGCGATATGGATCGTTTGCCACCATCAGCAGCTGCCGAAGAATAATTGCATTGTATATTTGTATTTCTATATGTTTTTTTTAAAAAAAAAAAAAAAAGAAAAAAGAAAAATTGGCTTTTGTAAAAAAAAAAAAAAATAAACTTATTATGTAATCATAAGTTCAATCCGTGACAGTTTTTACACAAAAAAAATGTTTTTATTTTGCTTTTTTTTTTAAAAAAAAAAAACAGATCTTACAGATCTTTTTTGTGTTGAGAATAAATGCTTCGTTCAAAATCATTTGTAAAGCGTACACGTAAAGGAAACGTTGTTAAAGTTGTGAAAGAACATTACCTTCGTGATGATATCCCTTGTTCATCGATAGCTTGTAATAATTGCAACAAAACATCACCTCCTATATTATCCGACGAGCCTAAATCGACTACGAAATTTAAGCCTCATTATCTTATTCCTGATACCAATGTTTTCATTAGTCAAGTAAATAAATTTAATTCAAAGGTTTTATTTTCGAAACTAATGCATGTTACTATTGTATAGCTTGATATCATGGAGCATCCTGCCATTAAGGATGTTATTGTTCTACAAACAGTTAAAGAAGAAGTACGTCATTTGAGTCTTCCTGTTTACAATAGATTAAATGCTATTTTAGCTGATAAGAATAAGCGATTTTACATGTTTGCTAATGAACATCAACGGTAAATTGACTTTTATATATATAAAAATGATTAGTTTTTATTAATTTGTTATATACAGTGATACTTTTATTGAAAAATTAAAAGGAGAAACTCCTAATGATAGAAATGATAGAGGTATTTTAACATATAAAGCAAATATTACCTGGTAAATTAATTATTTTTTTTTTAAAAAAAAAAAAAAAAAAGCTATTCGTGTGTCTACTAAATGGTATGCGGATCATTTAAAGTCAGTTGGATCAAGCATTGATGTGATCATGTTGACAGATGATCGTGGTAACAGAGAAAAGGCTGCTGCTATGGGTCTTAAGTCCAGTTCAGGTAAAGCTGAAAAGGGTTATTTGTTGTATATATAACTTATTATGTTGGTTTTGATAGTTGCTGATTATGTTGAAAGTATGAAGGATACACCTGAATTAATGGACATGTTATCAGCTCCTAAAGCAGCTCAGTCAGGCGAAAGTATCGTTTATGAAGAACACATGTCACCCGCATTGATTCAAAATGGTATTAAAAAAGGCACTCTTATTCAAGCCAACTTTAATATCAGTACACATAATGTACATGAGGTGTGTATTTTTTATTTTATTTTATTTTTTCACTAGTTATTCTTATACTTATTACCTTTTTTTATTTTTCTTAACAAAAAATAGGCCACTGTTGTGGGTGAAGTAGAAGGAGAAACGAAAACCATTTATATTTTAGGTCGTAAAAATTTCAATCGAGCTATTCAGGGTGATGTTGTTGCTGTTCAACTCTTACCAAAAAGTGAATGGAAACGAGGTGCCTCAATAGCTGTTGAAGAAGAAGATGATGAAGAAGAGAAATTGTTTGGTGAAGAAGATGAAGATACTAAAATGACAGATCTAAATGAAGATACAAGTGAGGCTGAGCCTACAGCTAAAGTTGTAGGCATTATTCGAAAGAAATGGAGACCGTAGGTTTTATATATATATATATATACATATAAAGCAAATAATCTATGTTTATACTTATTTGATATTATATAGTTACTGTGGTTTTATTGTTAAAAAGACAGTACCCTCTGAAACAATCGCTAACAGGACAGTTAGTGTACTCTTTCGTGCTATGGATAAACGTATCCCACCTATTCGAATTAGAACATCACAAGCAAGTACTTTGGTTGGTAAACGTATCGTCGTTTCTATTGATAGTTGGCCAACTACTTCATCGTAAAGTTTATCATAAAATATATATATATATATATATATTTATATGTATGTATGTATATTGACACTTTATGTATAGATTCCCTATGGGCCATTTTGTGAAAACATTAGGCTCTTCTGGTGATAGAGAAACAGAAACAGAAGTTTTACTATTGGAGCATGATGTACCTTATCAGGAATTCTCAAAGAGTGTACTAGCTGATTTACCAGTAGAAGGTGATGAATGGATTGTTCAAGAAAAACATCTCAAGGATGAAAATCGACGTGATTTTAGAAATTTGGATATTTGCAGTATTGATCCACCTGGATGTACAGATATTGATGATGCACTTCATGCACGACTTCTTCCTAATGGAAATTGGGAAGTAGGTGTTCGTAAAGTATATTGGATATTAGTAGAGTTATGATTTTATATTTTAACTATTTCTGTATATGATAGATATTGCCGATGTTACTTACTTTGTTAAGCCTGGTATGGCTATGGATAAAGAAGCTGCTAATCGAGGTACATCTGTTTATTTAGTAGATAAACGTATTGATATGTTACCATCACTTTTGGGTACCAGTAAGTGAAGAAAAGCACTATATAATTCCATCTATCTCTATATTCTGACATAAATTTATCTTTTTTAGACTTATGTTCATTACGATCAAATGTAGATCGTCTAGCATTTTCTTGTATTTGGGTAAATAGCCACAAACATGAAAAGGAGCCTATCAGTAGTATACTTATATCTTTAACATAGGAAATGACAGAGGATGCAGAAATAGTCAATACTGAATTTACAAAAAGTGTTATTCGTTCCAAACATTCATTCACCTACGATGAAGCACAAACCCGTATTGATGATGAACGTATGCAAGACAGTGTTACAAAGGGTATTCGTACTTTGAACAAGTTTGCAAAAATTTTCCGAAAGAAACGTATGGATAATGGTGCCTTAACTCTTTCATCTCCTGAAGTCCGCTTCAACCTTGAAAATGATTCACAAGACCCCGTAGATGTTGAAATGAAAGAACTTAAAGAAACCAATGCTCTTGTCGAAGAATTCATGCTATTAGCCAATATTTCAGTGGCGAAAAAGATTTATAGTAAATTCCCCAGTTCTGCCATGTTACGTAAACATCAAGCACCACCTTCAAATAACTTTGATACATTACGTAAAGTGCTGGCTGAAAAGGGATTAATTTTGAATATTGAATCATCTAAGGCTTTAGCAGATTCTTTAGATGAAGCTGTGGTATGTATACACATTCATACATATATATTTATTTATTTTAATCAAAAAACAGTCTACTAATTGAAATAATTTAGATACCTGGTGATCCTTATTTTAATAAATTGGTTCGTATCATGACCACACGTTGTATGATGCAAGCTCAATATTTTTGTTCAGGTACAGAGGCTGAATCCGATTTTAAACATTATGGTTTAGCAAGTCCAATTTATACACATTTTACATCACCTATTCGTCGTTATGCAGGTAAATTTAAAAAAAAAAAAAAAAAAAAAAAAAAAAAAAAAAGATACGAGTGTAACCGGATACATGTGTTTATATGTGCGCTTTTTATAGATATTGTCGTTCATCGTTTATTACAGGCATGTATCGATTCAGACCTTGTTTATGGACAAGAATTAATTGATACTACAAAGATGAAAGAACTTTGTGATAACCTTAATTTCCGTAATCGAATGGCGCAACAAGCAAGTCGTAGTTCAGTGGAATTATTTACAAGTCTTTATTTTAGAAACAAAGTTGAAGTTGAAGAAGCACGTATCCTTCGTATTCTCAAGAATGGTATTCTTGTACTGGTTCCCAAATATGGTTTGGAATCCATTGTCTATGTGACAGACAATAATAATAAATCATCACCCTTTGTATATGATGAAGAAGCTAAAAGTCTTGTCGCTGGTGATATTATGTTGAAAACATTTGACACAGTGAAGATAGAGATTACTGTAGAGGGAGATATTGATGGTATGAGACAAAAGATGAATATGAAATTGGTTGAGCCTTATGTGGAGGGCATCAGTGTCAAGTCTACCCCTACTACGACCAACAAGAGAACAATAATTATAGATGACCATGTAATTAATGAACAAGTAACAAAGAAATCAAAAACAACATAAGCTTTTATTATTATCGAAAATAAACTTTTTTTTTTGTTTGTTTGTTTATAAGTTTTGTTTTTCTTTTGCATAACCTCTTGCAATGCCTGAAAGGCCTTCCTGCACTTCAGCTGCTTCATCTTGTCCAATATTAGCTTCTAAACCTCTAAATGTTCTATTCTTCAGATATTCACCTATGTACACATATAACATATGACTTGAGTAATCAATCAATCAATCAATCAATCACCTATTTTACTAACCTGCTGTACTATTTAGGAGTACAGATATGTCGGTCTCTTTACTTCTTAGTGTTAAATCTGTTAATTTACTTGTAATGATTTCACCATCCCCTTTCTTGTGAACTTTACTATTAAATGGTCCTGAAACATATTGTCCAGTAACTAAAGAAAAGTGACGCTCTTCATCACTTGAAACATCTTCAGCATCGTCGTTTTCTGTTTCTTCATCATCATAAGTAAAGTTATCTGTACGTAATTGAGGTAAAAGTTTTGAAAAGTCTGTGATATAATTCCCTGTCCATTCCATTCCCTTCACTAGAGCGAGTTCTAATTCAAAAGGCGTAACGATAGGTCGATAGAATTCCTAATAAAGCCGTATAAAATAGCAATAAATGCATAAATACATATACAAATATATATATATTACGTAATACCAATTCTATACCTTAGAATCAATTAAACTGTTTTCAGGACAGGATACTAATACATAACAATCTACTTCCATAAAATTAGCCATTTTAGCTATATTTAATTTGCCCATCACAAAGAAATAAGCCTTTCGACCTGATGCCTTTATAATTCGCTTTAAATGATCAATGATATTTAAATAAGAAGCGACGCCTAATGTGCCTACGACAATACCAATTGTGTTGGCGTCCTTAGCTTTCTGTACAAGGAAATAACGCTTCATCAACATACGATTAACAGCCACTGTTTCCTTTCTTGTTTCTTTTGATTTAGGATTATAAGTGTAAAGCTATATACTTTTAAGTTAATCTATTATTAGTCAGCATATAACTCCAAGTACTTACTGGGCATTTATTATAGACCATTAGAATATTGGTTAATGTTAGACTTTCTGCACCCACAAAAAAAATAGAGCATGATTCAAGAGGAACATCTTTAGGTAATTCGAAATAACGACCACCCCTTTTCTTTTCTGCTTTCAACTCTTCTATATCAGCAGGTTTAGCAGGATCTAAAAAGGAATCATAATGATCATCCTCATCCTCATCCCCATCAAATTCATCCTCAAAATTTTTGTTGCATTTTCCACAACAATTATTATTAGTGCTATTACTGGAGTCATGATGGGATGGCTTATTTGATGACTCATCATTCAATGTATGTTGTAATTTAGATTCAGTCTGAATAATAGTCGGAATAAGGTTTTTGTAGTTTGTTGATAATTTCTCAACTAAATCTTTCATTGCGTAAGAATATTCAACATCGCACATCATAATAATAGATTGTGATCTATCAGGAAACAATCCTTCGAATTCTGTCTGAATATGTTGAATATCTAGTGGTTGTTGACCGAATACATATAAAACTGGTAAACGAGAAGTACTTTTAAAAAAAAAGGAAAAGAAATGATTAATCGTGTTTAGAAAAAAAAATAAAATAAATAAACCTTGTTTGATACTTTACGGACTTAAACATGATCGTCCATAATGAACAATCAAATCAGCATTGACATGTTCAGCAGCCACTTCATCTACACAACAGCTACCATAGGATGTATCTGCCAAGACAAATATCTGCTGATTAGTATGATTGCGTAGGATTTCAGCAACAGCAGCTGCATCAGCTAAATATTCATCAGGAAATTGAAGAGCAATACGTTTGAAGCCACCTTTTATAATGTGTTGAACTGTACGATCAATCTCATATAATTCATTTATCTGATCATGCTTTTCACTTTTTGTTTCAATAGTTCGTTGAATGACATCTTTACCATCATCGGCAAAGTTAGTAGCCCCTATTGCAACGTTTGACATTTATTAATATTAGGAAAAAGAAATATGTTTTCCTTTCAGACAAAAAAAAAATAAAATAAAATAAAATAAAATAAAATAAAATAAAAGTTTTAAGTGACTGTCCTTTATATTTACATGAATTCCAATTTGGATATTTACTATCAAAGGTCTTTATTACTTAACATGGACATTAAGCGATTAAGACAAGATCCTCTTTTCAATTCTAATGTTAGACTATTTATAAAAGATATTCATGAAATAAAACGAGTACAAACACAGCCATTTGGTGAGAATAATATATATATTTTATACAAAATGTGAAAAAGTAACAGTTTTATAGAAGTATTTAAATTGCATGATCATTTTATTCACAAGGCAGATGTTTATGGAATCATTGTTGGATTTGAAAAATATGGATCAAGATATTATTATTTAGGTTTTTTATTTTATTTTATTTTATTTTTTTCTCTCTATAGTCATATGAATCGAGATTGTTAATCATGTATATTAGTGGATGACGGTACAGCCATAATAGAATGCTTTGCACCAGATGATGAACAAACAGGTGATATTGAATTAAAGCCAATATTTGAAATAGGAGACATTGCACGAGCCTTTGGGGATATTATTACAGCTAGAAGCAATAAACGACAAATCAAAGCGAGAGCTATGTGTATGCCAAATGCTATATTTATGTTGTGCAAATACTAACTCTATACTGCACAGATCCAGTAGAAGACCCAAATATGGAACTCCTGCATTACATTCAAACCATTCGTGACTCAAGAGAACATAAGAAAGGGTTTAATTTGCCTGAACAAGCTATTGACACTGACGAAAGTGAAGATGAATACGAAAATACACCGATAATTGCTATTAGAAGAAGTGAAGGATTCAAAAGTAACGAAAGAGAAATCTTTCAACGAGCTCTTCTACAAAAAATAAAAGAAAGAGATTCAGACCTGTTTACGCCAAATACCTATAGGGATACACCTGAATTAATTAAATTGGCTAAACATGCTATTAAAGCTGAAGTACAATCAGAAAAGAAAGGAAAAAAAAAAGACCTATTAATTGATTCTTCCTTGTATTTGCATAGACTAATGGAAATGAACCAATAGAAGCTGAAATTACAACATTCTTCAATGAAAATATACAAAGTTTGGTGAACATTGGTTGTATAATCGAAGTCTATGGAAGAAATATGGTTTATAGATTGGTTGATAATAAGCATTTAGCACAAGTTATCATCAATATTATGAAAGAAGCAAAGCAAATAGGAGATGGTTCTGGTAAGCTTTTATATTATAGATTTTGTTATACAAACTATATTGATTTATATACTGTTATAAGCTGGTATATTCAAAGAATACATAAGAATAAAAGTATCCGAAAATGAATACTATCGAAATTTATGTCAGAAGGAAACCAAAGTGAATGAAATTTTAGATTTGTTGACTGAAAACAGTATTATTTGTATGCTGGATAATGATAAATACGACTTAATTTTCTAATTACAAAAATGCATTCATGTATACAAATTCTTAAAATTTACACAACACAATATAAAGACTACACTTGATTATATATGTACTCTTTTTTTTTTTAACTCTGTGTTTCTAATTACATAGTTGGTACACGGTGTTAATTCTTTAAGTATGAAGGTCCTCAATGTACATCAAAAGTTTATATTAACTGTTCCAAAGGTACGGCATATTTTATGTATAAATATTTTTTTTTAAGTAAATACAACATTATTGATTTCTAGAGTGCAATATTATTTTAAGAAAAAGGTATAAAGCATTTATTTAACAGTTATAGTGTATAGCACGTCTTTAGCCCGTTTACACCCACATATATGTGTATATCACTTATTATATCTATTCTGAGTATAATATATTCTTATTTAGTTTTAATGTCAAATCTATATTAAATAAATAAAATAAAATATCCTTTTTTAATAATAACGTGTAGAATAAAAGAAAAATGGAAATGATTATCCAACTGTATATGAGTGTCGTACGTATGTGTCTGTGTGTGTGTAAGGTGAATAGATGTTCTCCACAAATGTATATTAGTCAACATTTATTCCTTAGTAGGATAAACCCATTGACCCTTAGGAATAGGAGTTTCAAGTGGTTCCCAAGCTTTCCATTCTTCCATCTTACCAACTAACTTTAATTCATCCTCGGCTTGCATAATGATTTCTTCAATTTGACCAACATCAATCTTAGTTTCGATTTCTTCAACTTGTTCGGTTGATTCAACAATAGCTAAACGCTGTTTTGTTAAAGCTTCTGTAGCTTGTCGATAAACTGCTGTTGCGGGAATACGGGTCAATGCTTCTAATGTGGCATTATAGGTTTGGATCAAATGAGGACGAGGGTTTTTATGAACGGGAATACCAGTAATTCCTGTTGTAACCTAATCGAAAAAAAAAAAAAAAAAAAAAAAAAAAAAAAAAAAGTAATAACAATAATAATAATGAATTTACAATTATGAAATATTACAAAAAGTGAAATGCCTCAAACCTTAGTAATGCCTTGGAAGAGTGTGCGGGAGAAAAACATGGCCTTATTTTTCTTTAGGTTAATGTAAGTCTGAAAGAAATAAGAAAAAAATAATAGTCAAACTCTTAGTGGTTAATAAGAAAAAAATCCCCCTCACCCTGCTTAAGCAGTATGCTAAATTTTACGTCACGACGATAGTAGCGCTACCCCACAATTGAATTATTTTACTTTATTGGCTGATTTCTGAGGCTTAATTTGTAATTAAACAGTTTTTTTTTTTTTTTCTGAATAATGGATATACTTTTGTTTTCTATATTGTAATAGTGTGTATCTTTCTAAAGAGTAATTAATTTTATAGCAATGATTTTAGCTATAATCAGAAACTAAATACATGCATTTAATATAAGCTACATTTATTTATTTAAAGATTTTAAGTTAGTTTTATATACTTTTTTTTTAAGGAAGTATACTACTGTATGTATTTCTTTTTTAATGATCAATATATTTAGACTTAATATACTTAAGTAAGTTTTATAATACATAGGATATCGAAATAAAAGTATCTTCAATAAAATAATAAATTATGAACTTATCTTTTATTACTAATCTGATATAGTATATCGTTATTATGCTATATATTTAAAATAAGTTCAAAGTGATGACTTACTAAAATATAAGTATTTATATAATTAACAATACTTTTATTTGGTATACAAAGAACTGTAATAGTTGCTACAATTAATGCTATTAAAATAAAATCTATAATAAATGCGTATTTACAATATATAGAATAAATGAATATATGCACATAATAGTAGAATATACTAATAAAATACGATAAATTATACCTATTTAAATCAGTAGTCATTCGAAACAATTATTAATGTAAACTTAAAAACATGCTTAACAATGTATGAATAACTATTAGCCAGTTTGCTCTACTAGAATAAAGAAAATGTATATTAAAGCTAAGGAATAAGTTATACATGATTAGATGTCATCTAATATATAATAATTGTCATCATGTTAACAAACTTAGAATACAAGATATTAAAAGAAATTTTTTCCAATTAATAATAATAATATATAAGTTAATTCTGGTCTCTTTAGTTTTTTTTATATACTTTTATCACTTTTAATATATACTATTACACTAATAACAAAGATTACCATCTGCACAGTTCAAGATGTTTCTTACAATTACATATAAATACGACTTCACATTATAACACAATATGTATTAGGCATTAATAACATATATCAACTAACAAAGGGATTAATAATAAACGATTATAAAATATCAATAGAAATATTCTTTCTACAATAATGTAATGAGGATTAATATATATCTACCTATTATACTCTTCTTTTCAACAAAAGAAAAAAAAACTCTCCGTCATGATCATTAACTCCTGAATTATTTCAAAGTCAATAACGGATTTTCAACATAAATTCTAAAACAGCTGTCCAATCAAAATAAAATATTTTGTAAAAGTCACGTGACTTTTGATTAAATTTTGAATATATATTTATGTGAATGAATTCAAAATCAACAAGGAGCCTAGCTAGCTCAATCGGTAGAGCGTGAGACTCTTAATCTCAAGGTTGGGGGTTCGAGCCCCCCGTTGGGCTTTCCTTTTCTTTTTTTTATTTTCTTCTTTAAGAATAATATTTGCTTTGTTTTTTCATTTGCTTCAGATCAATACGTTATCATACTTTGATATAGCCATTACATATGTCGTGTGTTGATTCCAAAGTTCCTATATTACTTAACTTATTATTTAGTAAACGAGAGGAGAAAAAAAAAGACCATTTTATTTGTTTTATCAAAAAATAAAATATTTAAATTATTTCCAAGTAGTACAGTTTCAAAATAGCACGACGCACTGAACTATATTAGGTGATATCTTTAAATTTTTTCTTCAGGTTCTTATTGATATTATTTTACTGTATATTATATATACTTAAATAGCAAACGTAAGTAATTAAGACCTATATAACTATTATTATTACTACAAGGTTAAGCGCAACATGATAAGTTATTTCTATTTGTCAATAAAGCGTTTATATTTATAACATTTCTTTTAATATGTTTATGTGTATATGTTTTCACTTTTTTTTTCTTTTTTTTTTTTTTTTTTTTTTTTTTTTTTGATTTGCTGGTTGTAATAGACAAATGTTTGTTTATTTCTATATCAAATTAAACCACGGCAGTTTCATGGGATATTAATAGTTATATAGGATGCTTTCAAAAGTACTATTCAAAGAAAATATAAATAAAATTATTTTTCAGTTGCTACTGAACATAGTTAAAAAGGTTTTCTATTTTATGTTTATGCTTATTATAGACAAAGTAAGCACTATTATAATTTAAATTTTATGTTTATAGAAGAAGTCTATATGCTTTACATCAACACAAAAATATTACCAATCGAAGAACTTTTTATTATTGTATTATCCCCCCTTTTTTTTTCAATTCATCAATAGGGAAGGAATAAAAGATAAAAGAAGGTTTGAGAATAGAATATTGAAGCTTATTTATGAGTAAAGTTAGCAGCTCTCTTTTCAACAAAAGCGGACATGCCTTCTTTTTGGTCAGCCTATTATTATTTAGTTTAGTTTAGTTTAGTAAACTTCAAAAATTCTTTATTTTAACTTACAGTTCCAAAGAGAGCTTGAAACAAGACACGTTCCCAACGTAAACCAGCACTAAGAGAAACCTCAAAAGCTATAATATTAAAAAAAATAAATTAAAAATACATACATATATATTATGTGAATACACATTGTGAACTAACATTTGTTTATAGCTTCTTTAGCCATTTGAACAGAAGGTTGGCTCATACTGGCAATAACAGAGGCAGTCTTGATAGCTTCATCAACAAGTTCATCAGCGGGAATAACCTTACTGACAAGACCTACATAATTTATAAATAAATTTCGTTTATTTTCTTTCTTTCTTTCTTTCTTTCTTTTTTCTTTTCAATTATAGTAATATAACTTACCCAAGTTAAGAGCCTCGGCAGCATTTAAATTAACATTACCAGTCAAAATCATTTCCATTGCCTTAGATTTACCAACAGCTTTTACAAGACGTTGTGTACCACCTGCGCCAGGAATGATACCTAACTTAATCTCAGGTTGACCAAAGACAGCTTTATCACCGGCATAAATAATCTATAATCATAAAGGATTATTTATAAACATACTTATATCTAAAGTTGTACAATATCGATTATATTACTTACATCACACATCATAGCTAATTCACAACCACCACCCAACTAAATATTATTATATAAGGTTAGAAGATTATTAGAGTAAAAAAAAAAAAAAAATAATAATTACAGCATAACCATTAACAGCAGCAATAATAGGTTTTTTAATTTCTGTCATTTCAGCCCAATGACCCAAGAAGTTATTCTTGTAAGTATCAACAAAAGTGTTATCCTTCATTTCCTTAATATCAGCTCCGGCTAAAAATGTAAATAAATATAATTAACTTTGTGGGGTAAAAAAAAAAAAAAGCTTATACACATATATTTACCAGCAAATGCCTTCTTTGAGCCCGTAAGGACAACAGCACCAATGCCATCATTTTTGTCATAAGAGCGAAGAGCATCATTAATTTCAGTAAACAAATCACTGCATAAAGCATTTAATGCCTTTGGACGATTCAAAGTGATAAGGCCAACTTGACCTCTTGTCTCTGTAAGAATAAATTCATACTGTTTACTGTTGCTAGAACTAGTAATCTCCTCTATATATAAAACGCGTTTTTTTTTCTAAGTATACATGTATATATTTGTATATTCTTTAGTATTAATCACTTACGTCTTTTAACAAAAGTAGTAGAAAAAGCTCTTTTGGTAATCGACCTATTAGCAGATAAAGGTCTGATGATGCAAGGGCTAATGAAGTTTTTAAGCATGTGTGGAATTGTTGTAAAAAAAAGAAAAAGAGAGAGAGAAAAAAATTATATACTGTTCACTTTATATATATTCATAATGGGAAAGTTTTTAGAACGGAGAAGAACTTGACTCTTTGTCATATCTCCTGCAATAAAAAAAAAAAAGAATATAATTCCCACACTTTACACATACGGAGTTACATTTAAGAAATGGCACAGAATCTTATAAAGCACAGCGGAAAATAAAAAAAAAAGTATCTAGGACAACACTATTACTTTCCTTCCCCCCCCTCAACAATGAACTTTTGCCTTTGTTGTGTTTGTTAAGAGAATTTATATCGTTTTCTTCTGCTTACCAAGCTTTAAGTTATATAACAAGGAATATGTTAAAAGAAAAATCTATTTAATAGCTTTTATTTCTAATAGATAATTTACTTTATTTTGGCCTAAAAATGAAAAGATAAAAACTACAGCCATAAAGCAAAAAATAAATAAATAAACCGAATATTATACTTTACCTTTCCTCTCTTTTCTTTTATATATTGATATAACGTGCTTTTTTTTTCTTCTAATATAAGAATCAGACTGAACTTTCTATTAAACAAAAACTTAAAAGATTTAAAAGGAGTATAAAAAATGTATTTATTTATTTCATAAGATTATATATTGTAAAAAAAAAAAAAAAAAAAAAAACTAATTGTAAAATAATATCTAAAAAAAAAAGGTCTGTCATTAACCGCAACAGAACCATTTTAATTTTTTTAATTTATTTGGTTTCTTTTCGGTTTTAGTAGGTGTAGCAGTAGTGGCATTTGTATTTGTAATTCCTTCTTCAGTGCCTGTTTTCGTTGCTTTGTTATTATTAGATGGCAATTCTGTATTAGTAGCAGCAGTGCTTGTTGGATCAGCTTCTGCTGTTGTGGTGGCAGGGGCTGTTATAGTATCATCATTTATATTTTGTCTTTGCTGTTCATTCTTCGATAGATTCGTAGTAGTAGTAGTAGTAGTAGTATCACGTTCATGAGCAGTCATAGCAGCAGCAGCAGTATTCGCTTTATCAATTTCTCCTACTGTACCAACTGGAGCATTACCGGCTGGTGTATCAGGAACTCCTGACGCCGTATTAGAAGGAATAGCGTTGCCATCATATGATCCTATATTAGCGGCACGAGAACCATCACTCTGAGTCGAACCGGAAGTAGCAACTTGAACAACATCATCATTAGTTGATTGAAGTTTTGTAGCTTGACCATGACCAGCTGGTATAGCAGTATCAAGAACAGCGGATTGAGCTTGTAAATGGGTAGTTGAATTCGAGATATTATAACTCTTCCCCTTTACAAATGTGCGCAAGATAGTACCAAAGTTTTTGCCTTGATTATGAGCAATGGTCAATTCAAATTGAGATGGTTGACGAGAACCATCACCCTCAGTGATCGTGCCTGCACCATAAGCAGATCCACCAATCACTTCATCATTATTCTGGAGAGCAGGATGAGCATAACCAAAGGGGACATATAACATACCTTGATGGGCAAAATATGAAATGATAGCCCAAGCAGTCGATTCTTGTCCACCATGTTGAGAGGCAGTTGAGAAGAATGCACCAGCAAATTTTCCTGCTAAGGCTCCTTTTGCCCAAATAGCACCACTCGCATCTAAGAAGTTTTTCATTTGTGCAGGCATGGTACCAAATCGAGTAGGAAGGCCAAAAATGAGACCATCAGGCTCTGTGAGTTGATCAACTGTAATGATAGGAATGTCTGGTTTGCTAGGCGCATGCATCTTATTAAGAATTGTATCCGAAAGAGTTTCTGAAACTTGGAATAACTTGACATGAACACCTTCTGATTCCAATCCTATAAAAAAAAAAAAAGGTATGGATTAACTTAGCATACGACATATACATTATTTTATCTCCTTCTCTCTATATTACCTTCTTTGATGGACAATGATAATGTATAAACGTGATGATATAGCGAGTATAGTACAATATATACTACTGGTTGGTTCATTGCTTTAAAAAGTAATATGTATCAATATATATTTAAAATAATAAAGAATGAAGAAATATAAAATAAAATAAAATAAAATACTGATTTTATTTGTCTTTGTTGTTTCAAAAGCATGTTAAAATAATGGAAATTACATCATGTTTAAACATATACATACAAAATGGTTATGTTTTAAAAAAAAAAATATTAAATTAACACACACTAGAAAAAAAAGTTATTTTGTTCTTTTACGTTTTGTTAATATTTTTTTTTCTTCTCTTAATTTTCTTTTCTTTTCTCTCTTTTTTTTTTTTAAAAAAAAAATATATATATATATATTTATTATAAAATGGCAGCTACAGTTTATATTGTAATCTATACACTTTATCATCACATTTACAAGTTAGCCATAGAGATTCAAAAGGGACTTGAATCACAGGGTATTAACGTAAAAATGTTCCAAGGTAACAATTTTAAAAAGAATATATGCATATATGTATATTATTTATCATTTATTAAACCATTCTCTTATCCAAGTACCCGAGACTTTATCTGAAGAGATACTACAAAAGATGCATGCACCTCCTAAACCCAATATCCCCATCATGACAGTCGATCATTTAACTGAGCCAGATGGTATTTTATTCGGTATCCCTACTCGCTTTGGTACTATGCCTGCACAGCTTAAAGCACTTTTAGATGCTACAGGTAAACTTTGGGCTACGGGTGCACTCGCTGGTAAGTTTGCCGGTACCTTCTTCTGTACAGCCTCCCAACATGGTGGCCAAGAAACGACTGCGTTAACAACTGTAACCTATTTCGCTCATCATGGTATGATCTATGTTCCATTTGGTTTTGCTAGTGCTCATCTTTTTGATAACTCTGAAGTTGTGGGTGGATCAGCTTACGGTGCTGGTACAATTGCTAACGGTGATGGTAGTCGAGAACCTACTCAAAAGGAGCTTGAGGTTGCTCATACTCAAGGAGAGAATTTTGGTAAAATTGTTAGTACTTATGTCAAAGGAAAGACGATTTAATCCTATCATCAATTTTTCTTTTTCTTTTTCTTTTTCTTTTTCTTTTTCTTATTATTATTATTTTAATCATTACGAATGCATAAAATCCGTTTATCTCTGCTATCTTCGATCTACGGATTAAATAAAAAAATAAAAAAAAAATAAAAGATAAAATGAAAATAAAAATTTCTCCCAATGAGTACATAGCGATTTTATTATGCTGAATTGTTCTAGCTAGTTTTTCAAAAAAAAAAAAAGGAAGGTATTAAAATCCTTATAAGAGTCAAGAGGAAGAAAAGAAGGAATCAGAAACAGTACGAGTATATTAATAGATGATGAGAACAAATAATATGTCAGTTTGACATAAGCAATGACAGAAAGAAGTATTTGATGAAATAAATAATCCGTTTCATGCAGAAATGATACAAATTGTTGGGTCAACAAACCAATCAAGGAGAAGCTAATTGTAGCTGGTTAAAAAAAAAGGAAAGTGACTTAACAATATCAGATAACATTTAAAACTGATGATGCATATGGAACTATTTGATAGAGTGCATACATGTAAAGTTATTGTAAGGATAATAAAGGCACGGCCTAAAGAGTGCCACTAGAAAGCCAAAAAAAAAAGAGGGTGACTACGCTCAATGTGGTTCATTGGTAATCAAAGGATTGAATACTGTTCCGAAGAAGGACAACAAGCTCAGATCAAGTTTAAATTGATATCACTATAAAGATAAGCAAAGCTATCATGTAAAAAATTGCTGACAAAGCTGCTTGAAAGTATGACGATCTAGGTGTATTTAATACTAGAGCACATATTTGTCAGGAGTCTGAATATGTGACAATAGAAGTTATAATAAAGTATCTTTACGTAATTCCATTGAGTCGAAAAGAAACTTTACTTGTAAAACTGAAACACGATCTGCCATTAGTGACTGTTCTCTTTAATCGACAGTTTTTTTTTTTTTTTTTTTTTTTTTCATTTTGAATTTAGATAATATATGTGTATGTACTTCTTTATTTAGTATTCTATGGGAGAAAAAGTCTGCACAAAGTGCCTCTTTATTCTATTATAAAAAAATCCATAAGGAGCTTAGAAATATATCTTTTTACTGAAAAAAGAAAAACAGCCTAAAGTAGCTAGATATAGATCCTATCCTTTGATTACCTATGTCTTCTATTGAACAAAGCTGTGACTTCCTCTGGCATCCTAGATGGCTACCAGACAGTGAACCTCAAACATGTATTTATCATTCTAACCGATTACTTTACTAAATCTCATTTAAATTATTGTCTACACATATATTATCATTTATATCTTCCTTTCTCATTTACCGATCCAATATCTTTTCTATTGAATCAGTTGTCTGTTAAACCGCCTCGTCCATTACATTATAGTTCCACCTGAATTATCCTCTGGCCTGAGATATGTACCATTCTCTATGACTTAGATTATATATTTTTATGATAAGCCCCTCCCCTATATAATTGAAAACCTTGGCTCTACGTTGCTACACTGGTTCATTGACAGCTAAAGCTAGTAACATATCATTTGTCTTTCTTACTATATTT